GCCTGTCCACAGCGTATGGTAACATGGAGAAAGAATTGTCTGATCATTCGACACTCTTTAAAAAGTTCCATAATGTGTTTGATGACTAAATTTGGTGCAGTGCAGTATGCAACACACACAGCCTTCTCTTGGTGAACTAGATAAGGAACAGTATCCCTTTATAAACCATGACACGTCTTTTGTAAATCGGAACATAAGGGAACTTTTATAGGGTGTTGAAAGCGAAGTTTTACAAAATAGCGGACACTTTCCCAATGGAAATAATCATTTCTAGCGAGTACCCTTTCTTGAAAAAGATAGAATGCATTCCTCTAATAGAATGTCAGCCGATACATCATTTGTTTCTATGCAAAACCTGTAAGAAATCAAATAATTCTTTTCAGAAAATTGGATGGGGAGGAGGGCATTACAAATACTGGAGCACGGTGTAAAAAAATAAAATATCAGCCTTTTACATTAACTCATTAATCAAAGCTGCTATTTTGAGTCGGTTTTCAATATATTTCTAGTATATTTATTCTGCAGACAAAGAAAGGAAGGTTATTTTTTTATGTGAGAGGATGTTTATTGGTGAGATGTCAGAGCTCAGTACATTCACCTTGCCTTCACTGTATAAACTCTGTACCTCCAGGGACATATTACCGTGATGAATTCACCTTTATGTGTTTTGCAGCTGCTGCCTGAGTACCAAAGGCGGTGAGCTAGCTATGTAGGTACAGTATTAAGTTTTCTTGATGATCGCATATCCAGAAGACTGTGGAAACTCAGTTACTGACATATAGCAGCTGTCACGGAGTCAAAGAATTAAGGGAAAGATTTACAAGAGTGTGTTGTGGGATATTTCACTTTGAGCCAGCCATAAATGCCACAGAAGTGGATTGGAGCACCAGCTCAGGATGTAATACCCTTCATCAGGCCTGAGGGAATTACAGTACGATATTCCAAGCTTAGAGGAACACAATGTAGATACAAGATGGAAACATAAAGCCTTGAGATGGCAATTGTTTTTGTACATTTTACGCTATATTATCCAAGTGCAGTTCTAATCACGTACAATACACCCAAATATATTTATTCATTACTTTAGGCTCTTGGCGTGTCAGTTGTGTGATTAACAAATGTTTTTTAAAAAAAACCTAAATTAAACTGTTTCAAAACATAATAATAATATAACCCTACAGATTCCCTTTAACCCCTTAAGGACCAAACTTCTGGAATAAAAGGGAATCATGACATGTCACACATGTCATGTGTCCTTAAGGGGTTAAATTAGTGTCTTGTGGCTGTATTTTGTCCATGGCATGAATTTGATTTATTGAATATGGGCTTTCAAAGCCTTGTTCATTTCAAATCTATCTGTCATAAAAAAAAAGAAAAAAAAAAAAGGTGTCAAATTGAAATGTTTATACTTACTGCTGACCCAAGTGATAGAATAGGTTTTATTTTCTGACGTTTAAGCTTTTTCTGCAGTTGATTTGAACTCGGACCACGTCTGTTTAGGAAGTTATAAAAGTTTGCAGATTGAGACGGCTTCGATACAAATTCAGATTCAGTCAAACTACTGTGAAGACGAGCTGATCACCTGAATCAAGATCTTGGATTAATTATTCATTCAATTAATCAATTCCAAGCCAGTACAGGTTACGAAATATCTTTTGGAAGGTCCTTTAGGTTCACAGTGGGCATTGACAAACAGTGGACAGCAGAATTACTTACTACATGATGACTGTGATTGTTTAACAACAAAACCCCGCCATGATCAATAGCAACTCAGGGCCCTACAGATCTGTTCTTATTTAAAGCAAGTCTATCAATTGTTATTTAAAAACTGTTTTAATTATTTCAAAATTCCCTTCTTGGTTTTAAAGTTAAATTAGTGTTATCTTCAGCCCAAGTATGGCTATGAAAAAGGTGGAGCCAGAATCTTTATCACCTTAAGCTGTGATAGCTTTTCCAGTTTAATCATCCACCATTTAGTAAAATTTGAGTTATGGGTCATATCATCAACATATTCTTGTACAAAGCATTATACTTTTCAATGTTTAAAAAAAACAAAAACTTATGCATGTAAGGTGCTGATAATGCCAACAGTCTCTTCTGTAATAATTAGGTTAATTAGTAAGCAATTAAAATTATTTGAAATAGCGCCAACATATTTGTTAGGAAGTAGGAAACAAGACAAATATTTAATTCGAACAAAACATTTTCGACATATGGGAACAATAGTGAAGAGAGCTCTGCCCAAATGAGCTTGCAATCTATGTTCTCATGCATGTAGCTCATGCTATATTTTAACTCTCAGCAATGTCTGGCAAAAAGACTTTGGTTACAATTGTGTCCATATCAAATGGAGCCACATTGAAAATTCCCAAATAACAACCAATAGTGCCTGCCCTATGTCAATCCCATAGCCATTGCTTGAAGGCATCATGCTCAACAGACTTCATTTAATATATTCCACAGACATAAACTTGTAGACACTTGTTAGTGAGGGGCAAGAACTATCATTGTATTTGATTGATGAAGCCATGCATCATTAAAATAAATATGTTTCCTTATTCACATACATATAGAACATTTGTAATATCTGCTGTTGAACTGAAGTACATGCATTGGTGAGTCTGTGCATTACATCAGACAACTCCATTCCTACTTGTGAGATGTGGTGATTCAGTTCCCCCTCATCTACCGGCTTTGTCCTGCCCAAAATTGGTGGCACCAAGTGGAAAGTGTCCACCGTGCCAAATATTTCCAATTCAATATTATAATCCCCAGTTTAATTTTACAGTGAAAGTAACCACTAGAATCCAATTCATAAGACCAAATTGTCTAAATCCTGCGTAGTGGTAATTTTGAAATGAGAAACATGAAATGTGATTGACTCTCTTATTTACTGTATCCTTGGCTTTGTTCTAACATTCCTTGGGTGCTGACAGTTAAAAACAGAATTGGAAAAGTGATAATGGATGAACACGTGATGGTTCAGAATTGTAGGATATCTGGGAGGCTTCATCAAAGTTCTCAGTTGGAATAAATCTTCAAAAGGAAATTTTTAAAACAATCTTTTTCAATGGCATATTGCTCAAATGAGAGTGATATCATATAGAGAAAAAGGCCTTCTTATCTCTCTTTGCGTGGTTGTGGTTTAATTAGTCTTGTTATCATTTATATTGGACCTGTCCTAAGCTTTGGAGTAAGATTTAATCTCTCCTTAGGGCTCTATTTCACAAACCAATATCTTAAGTGCCTCATCCTTCTTTATCTCCTTTCTTGTAAAACGAGTAATTAAACTGATACTTTAAGCACCATAACCACTACAACGCTCTGTAATGGTTATGGTGGCAAGAGCCCCAAGACACCATCCTATAATAAGCTGTGAAACCATTTACGAACAATCCAGATCCGGAGAACCATGAGATTCCATGCGCCAGAAGGGAATTAATCTACTAATTTCCCACCTAAACAAGCAAAAATAAATTATTTCCTTGTATCTTCACTTGGATTAGCGTAAAAGTAATCTGGCAGTCTATGTTCAATGGACTGTTTTAACCTCCCCAGTTATGTAACCAGGTTTCGTATGATACCAAATAAACAGGATATTTTTAGGTACACTTCTCCGTATTACTTGTAAACAAACATTAACTTACTAGAACTTGCATGCTGTTTTGTAGACTATGAGGACATAGGTCTCATCTGTTCCGTGTATTTAGGAGTCTGTTGCTTTTCTCCTGCTGGTTATTTTTGGGAATTTGATGGAAGAATTAGAAAATTATGGGTAAATTATCCATTATTCCCTGAATTTCAACAGCACAATCTCCATGCCAAAATATCTCTGTGTACGATAAAGATAGTAATGTTTATACCACGGAGCACCTCACAGGGCAACTCCAATAATATCTGGTCCACTTTACCAGGGTTTGGCATTAATTGACTTCCCTAAATGCTTCTCCACTTGTTCTCTGCCCTTCACATCCTGTTTTCCTTCTCTTTTATCTAACGTTTCTCCACTTTCTCTTGTCTTCTCATGTCTCTTTTACCTTTACCTGTGTTTCAGTCACAATTTTATTTGTCATACATATATTTGTTTCTACCTTTAGCTGCCCTCAGATAGTAATGCCGCCCGCATAAATCACAGTTAACACCAAATACCCATGGTGCTCCAAATCTTTCACTTATTACTGTTGACGACTGCTCTCCATAAAAAGAAGTCATAAAAATGTGTATTTCTATATACAATGGCTGGTTACCATTTGTTTCAGTAAATGGATACTCATTTAAAACAAGTAACACTTTAGTAGATTTACCACCAAGGAAAACGTCCATGTATTCTTTTTGTATGTTTTCTTTGGGTATATGAAATTTTAGCATGCAGCAAATATTGCATCTGCAGCTACTGCAAGCCCTCCCCTTCTTCTCTGGCTCAGACAAGAAAATGGAAAAATCTCAGCTGACCAGCCGCGCATGTACAGGAAGCTAAGCTAGACAGAAGTTAGATAGTCTGAAGAATTATGTCTCAGTTGTCTGATTGGAGAACTCTTGAAGGGCTACAAAATTCAAACACTATCACGGTCGTGATTATCAACATCTGGATTGTTTAGATTAGTCATTGTTGGTCGGTACGAGTAGTGTTTGGAAGACCCACTGCTAACACTGCAGGAGGATTTGTTTTAGTCCTCAAAAGGCTTCCAGAGCATTTTTAGTTTCATGTGGCAAAGTGCACGTCTAAAATCATGAAATTGTGCACCATAACATGGGGTCTTTGTATGGACAACATATTAGTACACCCTCTATCTCTGTAGTGGTTTTGTGAATTCATGCAGTTCATATATTTCTGTAATTTTTCTGTATTGATGACCATGAATTTGTTTGGCAGAACCTTTGTCTAGAAGTTATTCTTTTTTCCATCATACTTATTAAAGCATCCCTGCACGTGGAATACTGAAATAGAAGGACAATTTTGATTAAGTCCCCCAAGGAAACATACGTGTTAGGTGTCTGTCTCGCCAGCTGCTTTGGATTCTGTAACAGTGTGTACCGCCCTGCTGTGCCTTTTTATTATGCAAATATAGATGACATTTTTGAAAAAAATCATGTTTGCTGTGGACTTGCTTGTATAAGTATTCATGTGGATAAAAAAATAAACTGTAAAAATACTGAAAACAAGGTGAACAGGACTATTCACTCAGGACCAATCATTAGCTGTCTCTAACGTTAGTTTTTGTAGCTGTTCCCCACAAACCTCAGTATTAGTAACTCATAATTTACGTTAGATGTTACTATAATGGCTCCCATATGTACATTCAGTATCACAACCCAGGGTTGAGCGTAGGGACAAAAGATCAGTTTCAACATACAGTAACACATTAAGAGGAGATTCTCCGCATAGTTGCCAACATTTGAAAAAAATATGTTCAGGGACACTGTGGCAACTACTCACACAGATGTAAACAGATACATGCACAATAAAACACATCACAAATGCACACATGGATACACATGCACGCCAAGGCAAACACACACAGGTACATACAGTGACACACTGATACACACAATAACACACACAGAAACACACAGTGACACATACAGTGACACAAGCAATAACACACAAATATAAATAAAGAAAACGTATTTATAGCCAAATTCAGGACAGTTGCCTACTATATAGCGATAGTGTTACTAGCCTACTGGTGCAGTCCCTCTGGTCTTTATAAAAATACAGAGGATTCCCAGGCACCCTAAGTACACCTCTTAACTGGAGACATTACAGTGAGGAAGCTTTACATTTTCATTATCTATTCAAATATTTGTAAGACACTAGGAGCGTAAAGCAGCCTAAAAAACAAATTAAAAAGTGTCCCACCTCTTCCCCCCAGCAAAATGGCAAACTATGGTGTACTGTACATGCCATATACTCACATACATGTAGAATAAAATACTATTATTGCTACATAAAGTGTGACAAAAACACATTTTAACCCCTTAAGGACCAAACTTCTGGAATAAAAGGGAATCATGACATGTCACACATCATGTGTCCTTAAGGGGTTAAAGAAACGCTTTCAATGCCATGATTGCAAGTGGCTTCTGAAGAATCTGATGGAATGTCTAGGGAAGCAGCTTCCTGAAAATGTATTAGAAAGTAAGAAATAATGTTCATGGGAGAGTAAAATGCCACAATAAAAGTAAGTACAGTTACACCAAGCACCTGTACAATACAAGGAAGTCTGTAATGTGTTTTTACATTACTTAATCCCTCCTTATCCCTATCTGGCTGATAGAATGTAGTGATTCACTCTGACCAACAAAAAGCTGTTGTAGAGTGTGCGCAAAGAGTCACATAGAGAAATGGGTTATTTGGATACCAAGGTAACAAAATGGTCAGTTGGGAATATAAAATGGGCAGTGGGTAAGGGTACCTAAATGATGGATTGAAAATGTGACTAATAGATTTAGCAGTGCACTAATATACAGCACAGAATGAGGGAGAGAGGGTAAAAGACATAGGGATTATTGGCAGGGGCTGAGTTACCTACCTAGAAGTTCCTCTGGCAGGTTAGTCACTTCCAGGGCGGCATGCTTTCTCACAGCAGAACAGGTGGTACTCTCTTCAGCAGCCATTGTGTGTTAATAGTATGCAGACTATGTAAGAGAGCCTGTGATTGGCTGAGTATGTAGTGACTAGTCTAGCCATGCTCTCAGGGCCGGTGCAAGGATTCTTGCCGCCCCTTCATGAATGCAACTACATTCCCTCAGAGGTTTATTCATTAAACTCTGAATTACAGTGAAGAGACATTTAACGAAAGAGGCGCACTGAGTAGACATTAAAGGGAAGCTATAGTGCCAGGAAAACAAACTTGTTACCCTGGCACTATAGCTTCCCCCTCTGTCAAGCGCCCCTACCTCGTGGTGCAAAAGGGGTAAAAAAAAAAAAAACCTTCCATCACTTACCCTGGTCCAGTGCTGATGTCCCTCGGTGCTGGCTCATTTCCACCTTCATTTTTCAATGGCCGCATTAGGATTTCCCCATAGGAAAGTATTATACAATGCTTTCCTATGGGGTCCACTAGAGGTGGCGTTAACCCTGAACGGTAATCATTGCAGTTTGCTTAAAAACTACAATAATTACTTTTTGCAGGGTTAAGGGCCCTGGGACAGTGCATCCAAAAACCTCACTGACATAGATACAGTGTCACTCTCACTAACACACACACACACACACACACACACACACAGTGTCACTTATATACTCTCACTAACACACAGAGTGTCACTTGCACACTCTCACTAACACACACATTGTCACTTACACACTCTCACTAACACACAGTATTCCTTACACACTCACTAACACACACAGTTTCACTTACACATTCTCATTAACACAGTGTCATTTACACACTCTCAGTAAAACATACACACACATTGTCACTTGCACACTCCGGGGGGCAGCCGGGATACCAGGTCATGTCCCGGCTTGCAGGAAGCAGAGTGCTTTGCTCGGGTGCTGGGGTTACCGCACACCCCGTTCCCTGAGCAGGCAAGCAGCCCAGCCCAGCAGGTGAGTGGCTGCGCTGGGGGGGTGGCTAAGGAGCCGCTCGCTCAGCACTCCAGCCCCAGACAGCAGCAGGGCAGCCCGCGCCCCCTGCAGGTCGGCGCCCCAGGCGAATGCCTTATTCACCTTATGGTAGCGTCGGCCCTGCATGATGCTCTGCGTATTGCAAATAGCTCTTTGCTTTGCTACTGGTTGCTGGGGCTTTACAGAGGACGGTATTGTCTCCAAATACAAAATATATGGCTGCTGTCTGTCCTATGGGCAGCATGCTGCTCTAAGCAGTAAATAGGGCTTCTCTGTACCTTGCAGCAGGACTCCAGACACTGCCTACCAGTCTTTCTTGCCGGGACTGTCCCGCAGAATGAATTACCCAGGGCAATCTCCATCTTGCCGGGACTGTCCTGGCAAAAAACGCGACTGTTGGCAACTTTGGCCCGATTCTGCCACATTGCCCTACCAGAACGGGGAGAGTTAGAGTTGTGGCTCCCATGGAGAGAACTGGATTTGCCAGTATCCAAAGTGCAGTTACCTACAGGCATTTGTCTGCTAGGAGCCCCTACAAAGGTGTATCTAGAAGCCACCTGGCCCCAGTGCCTAAATTGCCCTGGCTCCCTTCTCCATGTATCTAATTTCCTCCCTCAGACCCTCCATATGTGCTAGCACTCCTGATTGGTATAGAAATCTGATGGAGGCTGGGAACATACACGAGACCAGCGTGTCACTCCCGATGACGAGGCATCAGCTGGACTGGTAATTGGTATTTATAAACAAGTAGAGTAGATTTTTCAAGGCAAAATCAGGGAGAATGAGCTAAATAAGTAATATTTACTATGTAAATCAACAGAATGTCTCTCAAACAGCACCCGTCTTGCCTTGATAAACTTCCTCATACTTTACAACACAGTACAACATAAGGGCCTCATTGGAGCAATAAAATTGTCAGTTTCCTGTAAATGAATTATTTTTGGGATATTGCATAGGTGCATACACATTTCCTGCCTCGTAACTTCTCTTTATGGAGCTGATAACAGAATCCTGGACCTGGTTACACATGTTAATATATAACCAAAATGAAATCTGTTATGCGTTGAGCAGTTACTCTGATGTCATGAATGGATTTTTACAGTCCAGAAGGCTCTGAGCGTTTTAAAATGTATAATTACATTACAGTGACTGTCTAATGCTTTGACCATAACAGTTTTCATCAAAATAAAGTACCTACTTGTAAGGAAATTTAGATGTTATAAAGCATCTTGAACTTTTTCAAGGTAGCATATTAAGCGCTAGTATGAAGCTTGATGTAATTGCTTTAAGTAAGCATTTATTCTAAGTAGGTTAGTGTTGCCCTTGCTACAGGAAGCCTGTATGCATCATTAACTAAACTAAAAGATCAACATTTCTTTCTACTGCATGCCCAGTTCTTGGATTTATTTATTGTACTCACGCATAAAAGTTATAAATTAGAGCTTTAAATAGTATTTTTTGCATCAGAGAACTGAGCAAAAATATTGATGATATATCACACATTTGCAGCCACTAATATTCTTTTCAATCTACATTTTTTTTTAAAGAATCAGTCATATCTTGATATGTATAGGGGTGTACGTGTTCCTTGGCTGTTAATAAATAAAATAATAAAGGGTATTTGCTTACCTTTTTCCAGCAACCTCTCCTCCTCCCACGCTGTCACGGAGGACCCCAATCCAATGCCTGCATCAAATTTCCTTATAGGAGAGCATTGCATCAATTATTTGTGCACCAGAGAATCTATTTCTGAAAGTCCAGATAAGATCGCTTGCTAAAAAAAATATATATATTTTTTACTTCATAGGTGCACTGATAAATGCCTGGATACTTGACCTCTAGCACTGCAGAAGGCCCCACGTGGATGTCCCCTTTTCGTAGACCGCGTACATTAACCTGAACATGAAAAGCTTTGACATGACAACCATTTAAAAAAGCTCAAGGTCGAATGTTATTGTCACATAATGTGGAATAGCAAGATCTCAGGAACATGCAGTGACAATTATCTCTAGAGACTCTCTCACCAGTTGGCTCGATAGAGGGCCACAGGACGCAGCTGTACCTGGATATCATGCTTTAATTCTCGAAGCAATTAGATAGTGGACATGCTAACCATTGAGGGTGTTAGTCCATCCACTACCATAGTACAGAAACTCCAGGGATGAATGCTGCTCACCTGGTTACTGACCTACTTGACCTTTTTGGTCAGAATGTTGAGAGCTACATAGTATTTCCTTCTTAATGTATAACTGAGGGAGACATGTATATCAGTGTCTATAGAGATCGTCTTAAGCCTTGGAGGGTAGAATTTGCTAGTATGGGGGGGAGACGCATGCCTATTGGCACATGTCTCCATTGGGCATCCATCTTTTAACTTTAAACATATTTTCTAACAGGGGCACTTTAGCAACATAACCGCTACAGCTTGCCGAAGTAGTTATGTTGACTAGAGGCTCCAGGCACCATGTGAAGGTTTAATGTTAAATCTTCTAGGAATGATTTGACATAAACCAGGGCTCATTCCAGTGGCCAGAGGTTGTCCCATCCGTGGCACATTAACATGTTCTCATGTAACTTTAACATTTCCACCTTATCAATGTCAATTGTGTCCAAAGGCCAGTGACAGGTAATGTACTGCATTGTGAAAAGGGGGCATTGCTTACTACGTGGACAATAACCAGCTTAATGTCCCACCTGCAGGACCTCTTTAAGTTACAGCGATTGGACACCACAGCCTGCACACATTTCTTATTGCCCTGTAAACAGCAATTACACCAAGTGCCTGCAGGAGCTGGGAATATGCAGAAGTTGCATGTTTTTGCAGAGCTCTGCTGAATTCACTTATTATTTATTATTATTAATGGCATTTATATAGCACCAGCTTATTTCAAAGAGTTATACAGTGCTAGAAAGGGGGAAACGTAACAATAAATATGACAATTACAAATTGTTATAGGAACAATATGAGGATCCTGCTTGAAAGAGCTGACATTCTAGAGGACTTAAAGCAGGGTGCTCAAGAGGTAGATCCCCAGATGTAGAACTAAAACTCCCATGATGCCTTACAAGTCTTTAAAATGTCTGCGAATGACAAAGCATAATGGAAGCTGTAGTTTTAAAACAACTGGGGATCTACATTTTGGGAACCCCTGACTTAGAGCTTGTTATGCCTTGTTTCCACTGAGTGGAACAGGTCGGGTAGGTACAGTTTGGAAGGGTTAGAATGGTTCAGCCTATTCAGGTGAGCATTTCCACTGTAAGTCGGACCGCCAGGGACCATGCGGGGTTTAGACCAAATACCTAGCGTGTCATTTGTCGTGAGCATTGACGTTTTCCTGTCTGCCAATCAATGGATTGTATAGTGTGACGCTAGTAGCTCCGCCCTAACCGTACCGTACCATTTCCTATGGACCTTCATCTGAAGGGGGACCAGGAATGGTGCGGTTCAGTTTGGTTGTATGGGCCACTTTCATAATGGAAACACTCAAAATAGCGTACCGTACCGACCTGAACCGTTCCGCTCAGTGGAAACGAGGCATTCGTTTTCTGTTGCTTTACCCTTTATAACTCTTGAATGGACATCTTAAAACTGGATGTGAATACATTCTCCCAGCAGTGTTTGCCTTCTCCCAGTCAGAAATTGTGGGTGTGTGTTTTGAACATCCATAGCAGGTGATATACAGACACCAGATATACACACCCTTAAAGTGATAACAGCCTTAGGTGGCCCACTCCAATCTTTATATGTTTAGTTACTCTCAGCACATGTGTTGTTTGCTAAGTACATCTAACAAAGGTTAAGTACCTATAGAGAAATTAATCTACTTGCTGCTCTGAAATAGGTTACCGCTGTAGAGATTTTTTTCTAAAGCAAAAATTGAATGAAATAATGTGCCATTGTATAAAGTGTGCTACTACACTAATAATTAGGATACCGACAGATATATTAGTAAATAGATGATATTAAGGTGAGCATCATAGCAGAGACATACAGGAGGAGGAGCTGAGAGACACAGGGTGGGTTACTTTGATAATACGAAACAAAAATAAATCTTTAAGTTGAGAATGACACTCATGAGTCAGTGGTGCTGGTACCTAAGAGTATTCCCCACACAATAATAAACAAACAAGAAAAATATTTATAAGATACCGCACACACCATTTAAAAAAACAAAACAAAAAAACAAAAACAAGTTTATTATATGAAGAATTTTTATTTTTATTTTTGATGTATGAGTGGAACTTACATGATGCAAATGCAGTCAAAAATATTGCCCTGCTGCAATATGGGAACTAGAAAATATTCATAATCATAGCTCCCACTTAAACCAATGCTGCTATTCTTGATCAGCTCGAATTTTTTTTTAACTAAATTAAATAAAAAATAAAAAAACAAAGCAGAAGCAATGAGATGTCTCTGCTAAACAAATGGAATAAAATAGAAAAAAATGGTAAAAAGTAAAAATAATCTAAAATAGACTGGGCCAGAAAAAGATGACGATCAAATAATACTGCAAACAATCTTGTTATCAAGATATCAGAGAGAAATATAACATAACAAAGGATATCAAGTGCTATAAATGTGTGAAAGAAAAAAAATCTAGTGTAAACACCTGTATCCAAAAACCTAACATTGCACAAGCCTGTATTACAGCATGTCATCAAATACTGTGATACGCAGAGTATCAAACTGAAAAACAATCAATATTTACAACAAAGCCAAAAAAACGGAGCATCTAAGGCAGGCTTCCCCAAACTCCGGCCTTGTAGATGTTGCTGAACTACAACTCATGATTCGATGAATGAAATAGATAGGCTGAGAATCATGGGAGTTGTAGTTCAGCACCATCTGGAGGGCCGCAGTTTGGGAAAGCCTGATCTAAGGCAATGCCAAAATATTGCACCCAAAGTTCATGTGACAAAGACCAGCATAGCTCTCTCCTCAAACTCCTCCTATTATTGAAATGGTATAAAGTGCATTCCAGGTCGCATTCCAGATGTTCATTGTGTTCATTTTCCTTAGCGAACAAAAACAAAACAAGTACATGGCAGTCAACCAAACCTACACCTGTTGTCATATTTCGCATTCAGACTATTTCCTACAACAAGATACTTTATGGTGTTTCCAGTAGAAAATAACTGTTAATCGAAGACAGGACGTGTGAGTGGGTCCTGGAACATAAAAACTCACAGACACACATAAAAAAATAAACAAAACAAATAATTTATCCTTTATGGTATTTTTAACACTATCTTTGCCATAATGGTTAGATTTTCAATCTAGGAACTCAATGAGACAGGAAATAAAATTCAAATATTCAAAAGCACCAGGCACAAAAGAACATATAACCTTCACCTGCCATGGGTGAAGACCACAATTTTTCTTGCAGTAGTAGTGGGCGCTACAGAACACCCCTTTCGAACTGGCGTTGCAGGTAAAAGTCTCAACTGGCTGCATCCATTAACTTCAACAAACTGTAACAATATTAATAAAAAATAAAATTACCTTTTTAACATTTTGCTCATATAATATTTTTTAAATATCAAGTGCAATTACAGAAAAATAAGTTAAATAGATTTATGTATCAGTGCTAATTGTAACATGCTTCATACTTCTAGGATCTAAATATATTTTGTAGTAAATGCTAAACCTATAACTACCCTAGTGATATGCTTTCTCTAAATCTAACCGTACACCACCCACATCTTACCCCTAACCAAAACCCTACATTATCCTTAACCTTAAAATGGAATTAACTCTAACCAAACATTAACCCTTATCTTACCCTAACCAAACACTAACCCTACTCCTAACCTTAAAGGGACACTATAGTCCCCATAACAATTTTAGCTCAATTAAGCAGTTTTGGTGTATAGCCTCACTGCTCATATCTCTGCCATTTAGGAGATAAATCACTTTTGCTTCTGTTTATGCAGCCCTAGCCACATCTCCCCTGTCTGTGACTGACACAGCTTGCATGAAAAGTAATGGTTTCACTTTCAATCAGATGTAACCTACTTTAAAAGTTTTTATCTCCTGCTCTGTATATTTAACTTTATTCATACACAGTAGGCTCCTGTTGGGTCTAGCAAGCTATTAACAGAGCAGGAGATAAGAAATACAAAATTAAACATAATTTGCAATAAAGGAAGTTTAAACATTAGATTACTTTTTACAGGAAGTGTTTAGGAAGGCTGTACAAGTCACATGCAGGGAGGTGTGATTAGGGCTGCAGAAACAAAGTGATTTAACTCCTAAATGACAGATATTTTTTTAATAATAAAGCAGTGAGACTGCAAGGGCATAATATATACACCAAAACTGCTTCATTAAGCTAAAGTTGTTTTGGTTACTATAGTGCCCCTTTAAGGGGTTCTCTATGATAATATGAGTACTGATATCAGCAGATGAATTTAAAAACTAAAACAGTAGAGAGCAGTCTGTGACCGCCATCTACTGGCTGGTTGCAGCATTACAGGAAATCTCCCTCTCATGCTGTAGATCGCACATGATGTCTGTGCCAATTACACTATGATTGGTGGTGGGCAGCTGGAAAAGTCCAGAATCACAATCGGTATGGGGTATGCAGGGAGATGCTGTTATGATCTTTTCAAGAGATCTCCCCCGCATAGCGTGTAGCATGAGAAGCACCGCAGCTAAGTCTGATCACTCATCCACAAGGATTTAAATGGATTTAAAAGGCTGTATGCAGCGTTCATTTTGAGCTCTGAAAACAGCTCATAATGCAGTCTGTTGCCATTAAAAATTGTCCAGCTGGCAGAGCTTGCACCAGAACGTTAGGACATGCCATCACGTCCTAACGACATTAAAGCCCAGGTTTAACATCATTAAGGAAATAAGCAAGTCATAAAATCATTTTTCTTTGCCTGCCAGATACCCATGCATCAACAGTAGAACAAACAAAATAGTGTGATTTTTACACTTTATCGTATCAATAGTGTACGACATTAAATTTGTTTTGTGAATAATGTCTGAAGGACATGGGGGCAGTCTGTAAATGTTGCATTTCAAATACTTGCTATATTATCCTACAGCTCTGCAGAATATGTTGGCAATTCCAAATAATAATGATAAGAGAAGCCAATTGGTAAAGAGTGTGGACACAACTTTTTAAAACAGTTGACTGAAAAAAGGCTGGTAGTGAGTGCCTTCGGTACCATCTGGTCTTTTCAGTATTATTCTTTTTAAAGTCACTTATGAAGTATATTTGCTAATTCACTTACTATGCCTGTATTCAGGGAAAAAGGTTTTACAGATTCGTAGCCAGTATTCATCGCAGCTACAATGGAGCAGGAGAACCTTCTTTTAAATGGATTTAAATAGCAAATCCACCATACAATACACTCAGAAAATAAAAGAGCTACTGAATATATATATAAAAAGCAGAACAAAGTTCAGAAAATGCTTACCCGAACTGTGTGATTTGGCAATTTATTCCTTATTTCTCATTTAATGTAATCAATAATGATCCCATCTGAATAAAAAAGTAAATGACAATCTCACAATAAATATTTATCAGCATGTTAATGGCTGTCGATGAATTGTTAAAGGACCACTAAATTCACCCAGGCCACTTCTTCTCAATGAAATAGTCTGGCTGCAGTGCCCCTGTCATTGTAACCCTTGAAGTTAAAACATGTTTTGTAGAAATGGCAATTGTCTGAGTGAAACTCGACCATGTGACATTTGAAGTTACATGTCATCAACTGCATCTTACTGAAAAGCATTGAATTCAATAATTCAATTCTTTCCTTTGTGAAAGCTTGATTGCACGCCCAGATCTCCTCGTGCATGCTGTTTAGGTCCATTGCCGGAAAAAAAACATTCCTCCTCAATGAAGTTGCAGAAGAAGAGGTGAGCAGCACAAAGGGAGTGTTGGTGCTGAAAAGGAAAGCAAAAACCTATTTTGTAAATTAATTTTATGCCAAACGGGGTGGGGGAGTATTAAACTAGATAGGGAAAGTGATATAATGTTCCTTTTAACAATGTTGAAGCAATTCCAATGTCACCAATCCTTATCTTTATGACAACGTTTCTATTGTTATGGATGCCTCCATCCCTGGAACTCGTGGAGGGGCTTGGAGGACGACTTTCTCCTGACAAACTATGGACCCTGTCCCAGAGTCTTCTAATAATTTACAAAATAGCTATTGTCAATATAGGGAGAGCATATAAGAAGGCACCAAGTTCTTATACTACCCACTTGCTGAAACTGGGTGAACTCTGGGGATGCCTGGACCGAGACCATCAATCACAGTGTTCTTTGAATATGATGTTGGGGAGGTAAGAGATACTCGAGATTGGGGGTTGCTACCTTGCTAAGGACTCTGGGAACCACTTGAAACAAGACCAGCAGAAACCACTAAAGCGTGTGGAACTCTGTGCCAGATCGGAAGATAGTTATGAACTGATGGAAACTTAAAATATTGTCACTTGGGCTGGGTATCTCTGATGTGGGTGCTTTTTGCACATATGAGAGCGTAGGGGACATGCTATCTGTTTTATGGGGAATTTTTTGGCTAAGGAAGTTTTGGGGTTCAGATACAACAGAGAGGAAATAGTGTTATCTTTTAACTGACCTTATTAACTCTATTCAGTACAGACAGACTGGCGCCAGGGAAGGAACTATATTGTATTATATGAATCCCCTTCTGTAGGTTCAGTATAATTGTCTGTATATAAATATGTGTGAGTTGGTTAAATAAATTCCCACTGTTTCACACTTCATTAAGTCTTGGCTGATGTTTGGGTGAGCTGCTATTACTGCTCTGAGTATCCGGGTTTAAAAGGATGGAGGTTGATGGAGATACTCAGATTGAGCTAAAAATGGTGTTATACCTTACGTGTCAGCGAACACCATCCTGCCAAGAATGTTATTCTCACATTAATAGAACCATCAGAAAGGTAAATTCAAAATCTAAAACGACTTGATACGTCACACTGAAAATACGTCTAACATTTAACCAATACCCCATAACATATCTAAAAGTTTGCACATGAGCAAAATGAACGCCACAAACACCAAACCCCGACTTAATAACATCTGTAAGTACCATTAACTAGAGATCCATCTTTGTATAATTAGATCAGAGTACAAATAAGCAATGTGACTAAAATATAACATAGCAAAATCAATAACATAACAGTAAATGATGTGCATAATACCAAATATGTCAATTTCCAGGTAACTATAATTTCTTTTAACCTTGTTTTAAGAGATGCTCCTTTTTACTTTGAAATTTATATAAAATACTTAGCAAATTACACGATAATCCAGTTAGAACATTACGTCATAATCCAGTTCAGACAAGGCAAAGTCAGGGCAAACAGTGCAAATGAAGAGGAGATATTGAAACGTTGTTAAATTTCTTGTATCTTTATATGCTATCTCAATGCTGACTGTCAGGTGCAAAAGACTGAAATGAAATGCATGATTGTCAGAGAGCTAAAATGAAGGCGCCCAGTTACAGGTAAAGAGGTGTGGTTTTCTATATTTAATTTAGATTTTTGCACCTCACAAATACGTAGCTGTCAAAAATAGACATAAGTAAACATAACATTAAAAATAGTTACAATTACGGACTGCAATGTCCATATGGAACATACTAGACCTATCTGTAAGCTTCTTTTGTGATGTCATAGAAAGCATGCAAATGTGTCATGCATGCAAATTTCTTTACATGTTCACATCACATGGTGCTATCATAGACAGACATTTGATATGACTGTTTTTTAAATACAGGGTTTTATTCATTAATCTACGAGTCGAGAAGATCTGGAAACTTACAGGAACAACCAATTTTAGGGGAATATTTTTCTTTTTTTTTTTTAAACATTCTTTATTTGTTGTTTTCCGGAGTGGAAAAAGGAAACATTAGGGTACAGAATTGAAGGAGGGAGGGGGTGATACAGCCACAATTGTACAGGTGCACAGTAATTTCACACATGTGTCTTTGCGCCTCAAGGTGTTGTGAACAAGTAACTGTGTCTTGGTGCGGTCTGTTGGTTAGGCGTTTAACGTGCAGTAGTGTGGGGTTCAGGGAACTCTGTCTTGGTCTTATTCCCTTTGCCCGGTTCGTTTGGACAAACCTGTGTTGGTGGCCGTATGAGGTTTGCGATTTGTCTCGTTAACAGTTTTGTGGTAGGGTGGGATGCCCTCTTTTTGACTGTTTTTATTGTCCTCGTTGCGTACTGATGGGCGCCCATGTGTCTGGGTGGTCGGTTGGGGGGGGGATTGAGAACCTATGTACAAGGGTGGAAGTACCATGGCGGGACACTGTTTCGGGTGACTGGTAGTCATCCAGTGGTTCGGGTAGGGGTAGTATTTTGTACTGTGAGTATCAGTGCATTGGTAGTTTGATTGCTATGTTAGAATAGCGGGCCTGGTTGGTGAGATGGAGGCTGTCCGTGTGCCCTTATTGTAGGTGGGGATCAGATAGCCAGGGGTCCCAGATTCTGTGGAAGTGCTTGGAGGTCTCATGAATTATGGCTGATATCCTATCCATGTGTATTGCTTCCCTGGTTTTGTGTATGATTGTTTGCAGTGTGGGGGTGTTTGGCGATCCCCATACTTCGGCTATTGCCCATCTAGTCGCTAAGGCTATCCTGTTTGTCATTTTGTTTTGGGCTCTGGTCAGGTCCTCTCGTGGTCTGGAGAGGAGCCAAGTCCAGGGGTCTAATGGTATGGTGGTCTGGAGGAGTGTAACCACTTCCGCCCACAGTGGGGCCAATTTAGGGCAATGCCACCATGTGTGTATGTATGTGCCCCTCTGCCCACAGTTTTTCCAGCATAGGTCCGCGTCTGCCTTGCCCATATGGTACAAACGTACCGGGGTTAGGTACCACCGGAGCAGTGTTTTATACGCTTGCTCCTTGTGGTTAACGCATATGGATATGGAGGCCGTTGCCTCCCAGATATCCTGCCAGTCGGTGGGGTCGCACGGTGGCCCCAAGTCCCTCTCCCAACCCGCCACATATGCCGATGCCCCCTTGGGTTGGTTGGTGATAAGGAGTGTGTAATTTTCCGTAATTTGACCTTTGTGAAGTGGGTTATGTAGGCATGTCCTCTCAAACCGTGTGAGCGTGGTGGTGGCAGCTTGGGCGTTGTCGGGTTGTTCTAGGAAGCTTCGCAGTTGTATGTAGCGAAAGAAATCGTGGGTGGTATATGTTGCCTGCGTGTTAGGAAGGTCGTTGTATGGGGTAATTTGAGTTAACGTGTAGAAGTGGTGCAGTCTGGACAGGTCGTTTTGTTCATAGTGTGCAAAGTCTTTGGGTGTTAACCCTGGGGGGAATGCTCTATTGCGTAGTATTGGCGTCAGTGGTGTCGGGTTGTTTATGATGGGGAATTTCCTGGAAGTTTTGTCCCACAAGTCTATTGAGTTGGTGATTGATGGGGCAGTGGTGGTGGTAGGGGGCGTGATTTCTTTGGTACCCATATGTAGAGGGATGGAAGGTCGCGTCCAAATAGGTCATGTTCCAGGTCCGCCCATCGTTTGATCTCCTGTGGGGTGTGCCAGTGTTGGATCTGTGTGAGCTGTGCGGCGTAGTAGTAGTTTTGGAAATGGGGTAGTCCCAGTCCTCCCGTCCTATTGGGGATGTACATGGTGCTCCTTTTAATTCTGGGTCTTTTGTTTGCCCAGATAAAGTTGTCAATTAGTTTTTGGACATATTTCACGTCTGTTGTGGGGAGTGGGATGGGGAGGGTTTGGAATAAGTAGAGGAAGCAGGGTAGGAGATTCATCTTTACTGATGCAATGCGGCCTAACCATGATAGTGATAGGTCTTGCCATCTTTTGAGATCGTCCGTTGCTTTCTGTATCATTGGGGTGTAGTTCAGGGCGTATGTGCGGTGTAGTGCTGCTGGTAGCTGTATACCTAGGTATGGGATGTGGGATGTGTTGTAGCGAAACCTATATGTTTCTAGTAGTGTCTCCTTTGTGTCTTGGTCGATATTTATGCTAAGTGCCTCTGTCTTGTCCAGGTTTAGTTTATATCCTGAGGCTGCTGAGTATTCTTTCACCAGTTGTAGGAGTGGTGGGAGGGAGGTGAGGGGTTCAGTTAGCGTTAGGAGCAGGTCATCGGCGTACGCCGCCACCTTGTAGGTTTGGGAGCGTACTGTAATGCCCGTGATGGTGGCGGTGGTGCGTATGAGGTGTAGTAGTGGTTCCAATGAGAGGGAAAAAAGGATCGGGGACAGTGGACAGCCCTGTCTCGTTCCGTTATGTATAGGGAAGTGGGGGGTTGCGCGTTTGGGATGAGTAATTTTGCTTTTGGGACAGAGTAGATCGTTTTGAGGGCTGTCGTGAATGGTGTTGGGAATTGGAGTTTCTCTAAGGTGGCGAAGAGGAAGGGCCATAGTAGTCTATCAAACGCCTTCTCGGCGTCAAGGGATAGTAGGAGGGTGGGGATGTGATGGTGATTGGCTACCCATATGAGGTCTAAGGTCCGTCTGGTGTTGTCGCTCGCTTGCCTTGTTGGGACGAATCCGACCTGGTCGGAGTGGATTGTCGATGGGATGTAGGGGAGCAGTCTGTTGGCAAGGATTTTGGTGAAGATTTTAATGTCTACGTTTAGTAGGGAGATGGGTCTGTAGTGACCTGGTTCCGTGTGCGGTTTGCCGGGTTTGGGTAGTAGGCAAATGTTTGCCTCCAGCATGTCCTCGGGCATCTGATCTCCAGTCATGAGCGTATTATATAGCTTTGTCATGTAGGGTAGCAGGTTGTCTGTGAATGTTTTGTAGTAGATGCCCGAGTATCCGTCCGGGCCTGGGCTTTTGTTGGGTTTCGTGGTGCCTATTACTCTCCTCACCTCCTCCTCTGTGATTTCTGTCGAGAGGCATGTTTGGGCTTCCGTCGTGAGTGTCGGTAAGTGGGCCTTTGCTAGGAGGGTTTGTATGTTGTCGTGTAGGGGGCCTTCGTCTTGGCGGTGTTGAGGGGAGTGGTCGTATAGGTCAGTGAAATACTGCTGGAAGGTCTCGGCTATTTTACTGGGTATGTCGGTTGGTTGGCCTGTGGGGGTATGGATGGTGGTAATTTGCTTGGCTTGCTGGGAGCGGGGGTATGGATGGTGGTAATTTGCTTGGCTTGCTGGCGTTTGCGTAGCCTTCGGGCCAGTAGTGTGTCTGCTTTGTTTGATTTTTCATAGAACATTTGTTTTGTCCATTGTAAAGCTTTAGTTACGTCTTTCGCCATGGCCTGTTTAAGGGCCTGGCGCTGGTGGTGCAGTTGTGTTGTGAGGTCTTGTGTGGGGGTTAGTTTGTGTTGTGCTTCGAGTTGTCTGATCTGGTCCAGTAGGGATGTTATGTGGGCTATGTGTTTCTTTTTATGCGCCGTGGCTATGCTGATCAGGGATCCTCTGAGCACTGTTTTGTGGGCTGCCCAAAGTACCGCGTGTGATTGCACCGAGTCTTTGTTGGTGTCGAAGTATTGGGTGAGTTCTGTCTTCAGTTGGGCAACTATTTGGGGGTCGTGGAGTAGTATGGGGTTGAGCCTCCAGGTCCAAGGTCTTGAGATTTGTGGTGGTTGGAGTTGTAGTGTGATGTCTGCGTGGTCTGACCAAGTGATGTTGCCTATTGCGGAATTTGTGACGTGGGGGATTAGGGATGGTGAGATGAGAAAGAGATCAATGCGGGAGTAGGTGTGATGGGGGGGCGAGTAGAACGTGTAGTCGCGGTCCGTTGGGTGTTGAGATCTCCATATGTCTATGAGGCCCGTTTGGGTTAGGAAGTCGGCCAACAATTTGTCCGCTCTGGAGGGATGGATGGGTTGCTGAGTGTGGGGGGAGTAGCGTTGTCTGTCTATGGATGGGGAGATTGTGGCGTTGAAGTCCCCCCCTATTATTCTTTGGTAGCTAGGATGTTGGCTGAGGTGAGCTTGTATTGTCTGCCAAAATTGTGGGTCTGGAGTCGTCGGTGCATATATGGAGGTCAGAGCTTTTTTTGTGGGCCCAATAGTGCCTGTTGCTGTTATATATCACCCTTGTGGGTCTTTGTGGACGTCTTTAAGGTGTATAGGGAAGTTTTTTTTCAGTAAAATTGTCACCCCGTTATGTTTGCCTGTATGTGAGTTGGCGAGGTGACAGGTTTGGTAGTGACGGCTTAGGAGAGGGAACGGGCGTGAGTGAGCGTAGTGTGTCTCTTGGAGGAAGACCACGTCTGCCCCTGACCTGTTGGCCCAGCGCATAACCTGGTGGCGTTTCGAGGGGTGGTTGAGCCCCTTGCAGTTAATGGATATACATGTTACCTTAGCTAGCATTGTGATGTGAGGGGTACTGCGGTGTCGATTGTGCCTTGGTCCTGCCCCCTGTGTTGTAGGTGGAGGCTTGGGGTTTTTGCGTCAGGTTTCTTCCCGATTTGGATGTGGTTCTAAGGTCTTGTGTCCCGCCATGGTGCTCTTCGGGGGTAAACTGTGGGTACAAAGAAAAATAACAGTGAACATATGTACAACTTCCTGGACTTATTGTCTGTGCCAGGTTCGAGTTTAACGGCGTGTTGGGTATGTCCCTTATTTGGGACCCCGGTGCCCTGGTGTTAACTTGGGGCGTGGTGGGGGTAAGTCCTGAGGTGCGTCCCGATCCAGGTGTGTGCAGATTTCCACTGGGCAGTTGTAAGTTGGGGGTGGGGGGTGGTGTCCTTGGGTCAGATGGTTACAGTTCTGTCTGGGGGGATTGGTGGCTCCCGTGGGTTGGGGGGCCTTTCTGGGGGAGGGGTGTCAGTATGGTCCCTCGGGCTGGGGTTCCTGATGTCAATGTCGGGATCAGGGCGGTCCCGGCTGCCCTGTGTCCCTGGTGTTTGGTCATTGGGCGCCCTCCCACCCGTCTCCCCCAAGTTGTTCCGGTGGGGTGGCATGTAGCTTATTGTCTGGGGGTCAGGTGGTTCAGTGTGGGTTTTTCCTATCGTCCCCGCCCGTTCCCGCTTACTTCCTCCCTCCTCCCTCCTCCCCCTGGTTTTGCCCGCGAAATTGGTTTGGCGTTCCCCCTGCTCCCTTACCCCCCGCTGTCTAGTCCCCGTGGTTATGGGTGTGTTACCTCTTTTCTAATATGAGCCGTGCACATTTGCAAAGTTCTCTAACTGTTAGCATGCATACAAGTAGACAAATAAACATTAGCGGCACGTATGACCAGTGTCTCTGCGTTTAAAGAATATAAAGGATATATGATGGGTCGTTGAATAGGTGCAGTCTTTGTGTTGCGACTTGCTCTTTATTGAAGCCGTCGTTTCGGAGAGCCTTGTAGGTCTGCCCCTGGGATGTCTGGGTTCAGAGTCGGTGCGGTGGAGTCAGGTCATCTTTGTTCCGGTGCCTGGCGTTGCTTTTGGGCTGTTCCCCGTGTGGTGGTGTCTTTGCGGCAATGGTTTTTCCCACAGTGGTTGTAGTGATGGGGGTTGCCTCCGTGCAGTGGTGGTAGTGGTGTCTGGTCTTGTCGTTGGTAGACGCAGACCCAGTTTGGAGGCAAAAGCGTGCTGTTTGGAGGGGTCTGTGAGGATGTGGGTCGTGTTGTCTCTGCGGACGAGGAGTTTGAAGGGGTGCCCCCACCTGTAGGCGATCCCTGCTTGGGTTAGTGCCGTTGTGAGCGGTTTCAGCTCTCGACGTTTGGCTAGCGTGGTGGGTGCTAGGTCTTGATAGAATGCCAGTGTGGCGGCGTCCAGTTTTGGCGGGCTTTTTCTGGTCACCTCCATAAGTGCTTCCTTGACGGAGTAGTAGTGAAGCCTCACTATCACATCTCTGGGGGCTGTGTGGTCTTGGCTGGGGGGCTTCAGGGCTCTGTGGGCTCTGTCCATGGTTAGCTCTTGTGGGGTTTTGTCAGGTAAGAGGGTCAGAAATACCTCTTGCAGCGTGGAGTGAAGTGTCTCTCCAGTGATGGTTTCTGGAAGGCCACTGATCTTTATGTTGTTTCGTCTGGATCTATTGCTGAGGTCTTCCAGTCCATTTTCCAGTGTTTCTGTGCGTGATTGCAGCGTTGAAATGGTGTCTGCCTGGGCGGTCACTGTGTCCATAATGTCGTCCACTCTGTGCTCCACTTGCCCTGTCCGCTCCCCCAGTTCTGTAATTTCTGCCTTTAGGCTCTGGAGCTGTTTCTCCAATTCTGCAGCCATGTGATGTTTTATGTCGGCTGCTGCCTCTTTAAGCAGCCGCTGGAGGTCGGCTTTCGTCAGCGGTGCTGACTCCGGAGCTGGGGGCTCGCTGTGCTCCGAGTCAGAATTTTCAGAATTTCAGAATTTTCTTACCCACATGGCGCCGGGTCTCCTTGCACTCGGAAGTGTGAGGCGACCGACGGCTGTGTTTCCCGGTGTTTCCGGCTGCCGCCCATTGCTGTGGGGTACCCGGTAGGTGAGAGGGTTGGTTGGTGGGGATTGCCGCTCTGCCAGTGCGCTGTGAGTTGCTCTGATGTGCCTGGGTCTCGGGAGCTATCGGCTTATGCAGCCATCTTGGTTCCCGGCCAGGCTCTGCCCCCCTTTCATTTTTATTTTTAAATCCAACCATGCAGAATTTGGGATTTTTTTTATCTAGCTCTATTTTGCTTTCAATTTATCTATTGTTTCCCAAGTAACCATATGATGTTGTTTAGCAAATATATACTACTATGGAACATGTAAAGACTGCTAGCATGATCTTGAACTCACACATACCACTAGTGAAGTGGTTGACTGAGCATGATGTGAGGTGCAGTGCAGAATAGCTGGAGTTTCAAAGTTGATATGACTGTTATTGACGGATCAACCAAGCCAATGCTTTTAATAGAGATACAATGAATTTTGACCAGCTGAAATCAAGCCAGACAAAGAGTAGATAATAGACTCTGCTGCCAGGTATCAGAGATGATTAGGCGGTGTCCTCGCTATGTACACACAGAATAGACAGCCGTCACTTGCAATCACACAAAACAAAAATGCAAAAGTTGCACAAAATTGACATAGCCAGCCTGGAACTTTCTATCTGGACTGGCTGATGACAGCTGCTGGAGGTGGAGTTACATCCTGCTAGAAGAATGAAAATATATAAGTATTGGCACAGTTTTAAGCAGTCCTTGCACTATAACCACTCTAACCAGCAGAAGTGATTGTAGTGCTTAGAGTAACCCTTTAATGAGTACATCATGAGTTAGGCCTGGTTTTAGGACTTTGGTTGTAACACTGGGCAGTAATATTGTTCATGATATTTGTGTCGTGAATGCTGTGAAAGATGCCTTGCTATTGCGACTGAATATCAGAAACCATTTGCTCAATCTTATCTGCAGATGTGAGACTGGGCATCACCATGAATACCTCTGTAAAGCATAAACAGATTGGCTTGTGTCTACTTCTCAATCTCTTCTAAGTAAACTTTGAGAGAAGTACTGGATCTCTTGTGTCTGGAGCAAATTACATAGTTGTGTAAGATCTGTTGGTTGTATATTGTTTGTGTAGCAGCGATGACTAGACAGACCTTGTTTCTAATGATGAGTCCCTGCCAAATGTTGACATTAGTTCACCAGCTGCTCTGAGGAGTTGACTCATCGGTTGCTCATTGGATGCTAAAGTTTTTGGCCAATTAGAATAAATTCAGAATTCATATAATACGCATATTTTCAAATCAGAATATATCGAAAGTTTTAGCTAAAGCAATAGAGATAATTAGAAATATTAATGAGGTAGTTAATTTCCCCCAGAAGACTAAATGGGAAAACGATCTGAAGTGTTCCTTAGAACAAGAAGATTGGTGTAAAGCTATAAATAATACTCGTCGACAGGTCCAATGTTTAAATTTATTAGAAACTTACTACAAGGTTATGTATAGATGGTATTTGGTTCCTAGCAAGCTTTCTCAGATGTACCCTGGAGTCACCTCTAGATGTTGGAGATGTGATAAAGAGGAGGGTTCATTTCTCCACATTTGGTGGAGTTGTTCAAATATTCAGACCTCTATCAAGAGAACGATAGGATTTATTAAAGATAATACTGGAATAGAATTAGAAAAGAAACCAGAGGTAGTCTTGTTACATATGCATTGGCCGAATATGTCATATACAAATAGTTGTTTTATAATTCATTGTCTTGTTGCATTTAAAATTGTTCTAGCACGGAACTGGAAATCTAATCAAGCAGCTTACTGGGATGCCATTAAAGATCAAATCATCCTTCAGATGAGGATGGAAAGAGATCTAAGTATACCATATTTGAATTCCCCAAAGAGAAGGGATCTATGGCAAAGATGGGTTAATACAATAGAACCTACTATATAAATTAAACAGATAACCATTAGATCCGGTAATGCTTGAGGAGTAAGAGTCCTGAGCTAAGACATATTTTTATAATAGCCCGATCCCGCAGATAACAGTGTAATTTGTCTGTATATTGTGAATGTCTTAATGGTGTAATAGATGTTATGTGATTTGTGGTGTTGTGTTGATATATGTATATATGTAAGAAATTGAATAAAAGAATTTACTAAAAAAAAAAAAAGAATAAATTCAGAATTCTAATATTGGCCAATGATCAGAAAATGTCCATATAAAAATATACTAATGACAGTGTGGAGCTTGTTATAAAGTAAAGACATTGTGGATCAATATACTAGGCATGTTGGTGTGTGTGTGTGTATATACCTTTTAAATACTCCAATTGTGTTCTTTACATTACGATCTAACGATCTTCACGCATTACTGTCTTTTCAAACAAATGTTCATTGTCTCTCTGCCAGAATTGCTTTGTTATAGAACATCTAGAAAGTATACAGCAACACTACTAAAAAGTGATTAAAATACTATCTCCATGCGCGAAACTCCTTGTGTTTTATGTCTTTCCCAGTAATCCATCTGTCAAAACATGTGAATGCATTATTCGACAACATGTGTTAGATGACACTGATTCTGGGAATCACTTTTCCTGAGCAGACAGGCAGAATTTCCCAAACAACACGGTGTTTCTCAATCTACAAAGACAACTCCTTACTGGTACTCTTCCCCACAAAATGTCATTAACATATGATATGTGTACTGAAATAGCATGCGTGCTCCTTCAAAAACACTCTATGAATACACATACTATGGAATCAGTCATTGCTATAATAGCAACAGCCTGTTTGTAAAATAGGAGCAGATAGCAAGTCATTAGTCATAATCATATCATATCTTCTAGTAGTTCTAAGACAATTTTTTATAATTACTTAGAATAAAATATTACATGTAGCATAATATCACTCTCCTCGGTACTGTCTGTCAGGGCAGCTCTGAGCGAGCAGTATGAGAGATGAGTGGATAAAGGATGAGGTTATAACATGTCCCCTCTCTCTACGCTCGTATTGTGTGCTGTGTGCTCTGACAGCCAAGACAGAGAAGCACAGAGAGTGCTCCACCACAAACACGCAGGGTCGTTTTACAATATGGGGCAGTGTATAGGTGTGAGAGGAGTGCTGCGTGCTCGCAAACTGGGCCACAGTCCACCCCCCCTTTATTAGTATACTAGTTATTACATATTACATATAATAAGAATTATAAAAAAACAGCCTGCACTCACAGTCCTATCACAAGCCGAACCCAAGGCCGCTAACGGCACACCCTTGTGGAACTGTTACGAGTTCCCTGCCGACCCGCAACCATGGGTGCAAGAATGAGTCATAGGCCACGTTTCCTAGTACTGGTGCCATTGTTTTGACATTCTTCGGCCAAACATTATACCTTGTACGTATGCAAAAGTAGTGTAAACTGTATGCCATATTAAATATAGGTGACACGGACTGTACTGTTCACTTATGTTATGTTAAAAAGTACTTAAAACAAAACAAGAAAAGGGACACTATAGGCACACGTACCACTTCCTCGCAATAAAGTGGTCTGGGTGCTCTGTCCCTGTACCATACAATGTAAATTTATTTTAGATATTTTGAGGATTAGGAGTGCCTCTAGTATCTGCATGAGGACGTCCAGCATCTTCAAAATCCCCATAGGACACCTTCCCATGTGCAAGTTCTATTGTGCAAATGGCACTCGCTGCACATGTTCATTAGGTCTTCCACTGGTGTGATGTCAAGGCAGATCGTATTTTTATCCTGTAATGCATGGGGTGACTAATGCCATGCAGTTTGGGGACCTCTAATCTCAATTCAGCACTGGAACATGTGTGTCTTGACCTGCTCAAGGCTAGTCAGTTACTCTCCATTATAACTCCCAACATGGTGAGGTATGAAGTCAGGACAGGGGATGGAGGGACCTATATGGGGCATGCCAGTGATGTGACTTGCATCACAGGCAATGCTCAAAGGGGTGAGCACATCCAAAAACTGGACAGGCCAAAAGTGGGACAGGACTCAGAAATTAGGACTGTCTTATTAAACCCACTTAATTCAGCCATTCTCCTAATATTAGGTTAAGTAACTCCCACCAATATAAGGCACCCTGCATATCTGTGAGTATTCCTCCTGTCTATCTAAATACCTTTTCCCCTATCCTAAAAGCTCACGCCTCATATATCCTTTTCAGATGTACAGGGTGGTGTTTTTTCTTGGTTTATAATGAAAATAAGAGTAAAAAACTAGGAAAATCTCCCGTAAGTCATACCCACCCCCTTCTTTACCTCTGCTGTACTACTCTGGCATTTTTATAATGCTACGAAAGCTCTTGAGAAATAAGCAAATAAATTGTGTCTGGCATTAGAGACGCAGGTTCTGTGTTGCTGGACGTAAGACTGTGTTTGTGAGATGTGCTGGTAGAAGACTAAATTATATCACATTTACTAAATTCTATCATATTAGAAGGAAGATGCGCACTCAGATTCCAATAACCACAGGGTGCTTAGCCGGAGGAGGACAGCAAATCCCTTGTATCAGATAAATCCAAATAGAAGCTTCAGGCACTCACTGGGTCCACATGCAAAGCAGTTTTATTGGATCATAAAGCAAGGAGCAACGTTTCAACATAAAGATCTTTGTCAGCTGTGTCTGTAATTAGAGACCCAGGTCTTGTGCTTCTGTGCATCAGACTGTATTTGTGAGATGTGCTGCTAGATCAATAAATGATATCATATGACATGTCACTATTAACATATAAGATCCTCTGCTTTTCTTTAACCTTTTTTTGTGTGTTTTGTGAATTAAAACAGTTTTGGTTTTTCCTGTTACAGACAGGATTTTTGTGTATGTGTGTGTGAATCATAATAAGTAACTTCTTTCTTTCACTTGTCCCATCACTGCTCAGGCATTTATAATCCAAGACTTGTCCTAATGCTTATTTCCTACCATTATATATGGTGGTAGTTTGTTCGGGTCTAGAACCTCTATTTTTCCAGGCAGTTATGAAGGTCTTGCTAAGAGAAAGGTGGTACAAAGTTCTAAAGTTAGGACATCGGCAGCCATAATGGAAACCACATAGCTCAAACACAAAATGTCAAACAGTTTTCACAACTTCATTTACAGCAAGCAGTTTTGTCCCCTCACCACACTTTATACTATTTTCTCCCATACTAAATCTTCTTTCATTTCTTTGGGTTTCAAAACTGGATTGAAAAAATTTGGTCCTTAAGGGGTTAAATAAACAGGGGTTGAGCTTGGCTGTGTGTCTAGGCACTTTTTATCTTGACTGCATTTATAGTTCTTAAATTTGTTTTACATATACAAATTGTTGTTCTATTTAGGAATATATCTGGTGCCTCATTGGAAACGTGAGGTCACCTGCAGAATTGGTGACACAATCATCTGCAGCCTGCATGGTGAGTTAGCCATCAGTCCTAGCCTTGTCCGACCGTGAATTGAGACATTCCTGACATATATGGCAGGAGACACAGCTGAGCCCTCACTATGCAAATTTGAAAAAATAAAGACTACAAAATAATATACATGACTGTAAGAAATAGGGATTACGCAGCTATATTGCATGACAGAAGCTGTTTACACCACTCTGCCCCTCGTGTGGTTAAAAATTCACAAATGCACGTTTAAACAGCAATTTTAGAGCACAGTTGTAAAAATTGTGCAATCACCATGGAAACTAATGACATGTTCCTGGTGATTACCAGATTTAAATCTTTGCCCTAAAAATGCCCCTTTTTTAATAATGCAGAAATGTGATTATTGCTTCCCTTTTAATCTTGGTAAAATGCTAACATACAAATCACCCTCTCTTCTCCTTTCTGTGCTGATGCAGACTCATTGGAATACATGTCCCGTAGAGCATTGTTCTATAAATCTACAATGTCTCCTTTCTATCGGCCTCTACATTTCTCCTTCAGGAGTGTTTGTTGACTCCCTATTAATTCGGTACTTGTGCTACTTTTCACTCCCCGTCTCCTTCACGTCTCAGTCTGCCCCTCCCTGTGTCTCAGTCACTTCTAATCTCTCAATATACCCTTCATCTGCTGCGTATACTGAGCACTCAGCCATGCCTGCTGTCTTCCGTGTCAGGACTGTCTCAATTCACAGCGAGGCCGACCTCCGGAACTCATTCTTCCTCTCTTCCTCGTGGTTCTACATTTGTTTTCAGTCTTAGGGTCTTAGGTCTTGTATGGCAGCTGCTCTCAAACATGCTCAGGGTTATTTACTAAAGTGAGAATTCAAAGTGAATTCCAAGTTTAAGGCCTGAGTAGCTGAACTGAAATCGCAGCTGTATTTTCCAGTTTGGCTATTTTGACCTTAAATTTTATATTCTCTTTGAATTCTCAGTTTAGTGAATAGCCCTTACTGTATCTTTAAAAAAAAATAGGAATTGTGTGTAGAGGGCAAGGTAATTGCAAATTTTAAATAAAAAATGGGCAAATTGGTAAAAAAAAACCTCACAGTGTGCAACTATAGCCTAGTTATTTTGACCTGAATTTAATTCTCCTTTTAATTCTCCTAAATTTTCAAGTTATAGAAAAACTCAGAATGTAGTATTTCTATGTATTTGTAGATGACCTGTGACACTCCTTTTTTTCCTACCTTGCAGGTGTCCCTATTTAGGGGGGGACACTCCATATTTTGGGAACAAATCCCTCTGTCCCCCTTTTCTATCCTAAAGTCCCTCTTTTCCATGAGTTCCATTATGTCAATATTTCATAGTGTATAGGAGCTCTACAGTAATAATACTTACAGTAATGTGTCTTTTAAACTACAATAAATGCTTTTAGAAATCAGTCTGTGTAAACAAGATACATTGTTCTTCTTCTAAATTACATTTTAGTTGCATAAATAGATATTAGTAAATCATCTACAATTTCTCAGAACAGCCCCACCCCTGGTCACACCCCCACTCACACCCCCACTCACACCCAAAATATGTGTCTCTCTTTGTCAATTTAATTATTTAGTATGCATGTTCATGATTAATTATTACTCCCATCAAGTCCAACAAGCAGAAAAAGCTTAACACGGATTGATCATTAACATTTTAGGATCTGTGGACAATAGACAAGAAAACAAGACAAAACAGGACAGACAAAATATCCAACCAACAATTTTTCCAAATGAGTAATTTTGATCTAAAACGTACAGCTCCCTTGCAAAAGTTTAGTAAATAAATATACACGTAGTCAATAGCCAATAGTTTGTTCATCCCTAGTGTTTTTGAATGTTTTTACATAATTTATTTATTATTTTTTATATACATATATTAAGGGTTGTTCAGCTAAACTAGCCGTTGACAGGAAATAACAGAAGAATTGCAAACGAGCTGGAAAAATAGCCGAGTTGGATTTTTTTGATTCGGCTATTTTGGCAAAAAAAATGCAAGTCCCTGGTTAGATTCTCTGCAATGCGCTATTTAGTCAATATGCTCGTATAAGGTTTTTAGTTTCCCAAAGTTACAATGATCTCATTGAACATTCCATTATTTGAATTCCGTCTCGTTTTATCGAAATAGTTGGAAAATAACAAAGCTCCGCGCGTGCATTGGCATTGTAAACATGCACTTTTTTTTATTCGTAATATTAAAGTCATTATCGTGTAATCTTTCTTAGTTTAGCAGACAAGGTAATACATACAATATAATGTTTGAACAGTTTTGTTTGGCTTCAAATGTCCATGAACCTCAAGCCGATTTTCCTGAATGTCACCGCTCATAGAGTTTCATGAGGGTCTATAAATAGCACGATCTAATTTGGATTTCAGACTTCCTAATAAAAACACACAACACGTATCTTACTGCAGCTCTCTTCTGCCATCTAGTGTTCCTGGGGAGAATCTGCATTTTTGAATCGCAATCCCGGCTACGTAACTGTGCAATTAGGAGTTCGTTTTTCGTTACTGGTGTTTAATTTTACCTGCATTAACACTGAAACACTACACACAATTTAAACGTTCTGTTTCCTCTAATATACTACAAGTTGCTAAGTTATCCACTGCAAATTGAATACCCATTGGAAAAAGACACCAGTTTTTTTAACCCCTTTATAATTTGTTTTTCTAGATAAAACTTCTTTTTAAACATTTTGTGGTGCATGACGCTCCATTAAAAAAAAAAACAAAAAAAAAAAACACAAGTCATTCAGTTCATCTTTTGTGTCCATCCTCATCATATGTATATGTATAAACCCTACTCAAACATATGGGGGTTAACTAGTTGACAAAGACACTTTTCTACCAACATTGTATTGTATATTAAATGCTCTATAGGAAGTCATAGAAACTATAGCATGCATAAACGTAAAATAAAACAGTACACAAATGCACTGTGGCCCTACTGCAACCACACACAGTCGACGACCAAGGGATGTCCAGTCCCATGAACTCAAGTCATACTTTCTTCCCCCCACTCCCAGATTTCTAGCCATTTGGCCACTATCTCCACCAATTCAGTATTGTTTGCCACCAACCATTAATCAGGTGAGGAAGCCGCTTGACTCTTCTAGGGTCAATGCTGGCATCTCACAGTCTGCATGTGCTTTGTTTTTGTTTTTTGTAGTGAGAATGGTTTACGACCACAAATAGCAGAGATGTGCAGGTATGAGTAAATAGTTCAATTAGTAAATAGTTCAGAGTTTTGAGCGTAACTTGTTTAATTATCTATGTTGGTAAGTGATACCAATGGTACATCAACCTAAAGGTATTAATTCGACCTTTTCCTAAAAATTACAAGGTTTCCAGGTTACCTTTGGAAGTAAAAGACCAAATTTTACATCAGAGAGAATGAATACAAGGTTACTTACTAAAGTGAGAATTGTTGAGAATTCAAAGTGAATTTCAAATCTAAGCCCAAAATGGTCAGATAAAAAAATAAGTTCTAAGTCAACTATGCTTCCATTTCGGCTTCTTTGGCTTGACATTTGAAATTCACCGCACACTTCTCGTGCTAGACTTACCAGTCATTGCCTAACACATTGCGATGCAAAGCTGTTATAAGTACAGGGACTTATTCACTAAACAGTGAACTGTGGTGAATTTATTGAGTTGCAAATACTCGGCTGTCGTAGCTACGTTGGATGAGAAGACTTTTTTTTTGTTTTTGTAGAGAAGTTTTTCAAAGCTACTATTTTGGCCTTTGTTTTAGAATTTGGTTAGGTTTACAATTTACCACAGCTGTACGTTTACCACACTGTAACTTGCCAAGGGGCGTAAAATACCTCAGCTGTAAAAATTGATAGGCCGGTGAATTTTTCCCGTTTTGTTATTCTCTAGACTGTAAAATTACCATTTCAGTTTGTAACAATTCCCAGTTTCCGGATTAATCTATATTAATTAATGATTGTGAGGTGTTTTTAGCTTTATGATACATGTGTTATAATGAACATTTTCTGAAATACTAATTAAAACACATATAGATAGGTATAACCCTCCTAGCATCCGTTCTCAGTGTCTGTTACTGTACATCCCATCTATTTTACATTCTATATAAATATATTTGTATATCCTCCCCCTCTCAATTCGAAAGATTATTCTCTTTTGTATGTGAGCACTAAACCACCACAATTTTACAATGCCATCCAGCCTTGAATGGGCCGTTGCGTATTCAGTCGCGTTGCAATGCAATGAATAGAAAGAGCTTTTCTGGTAATGTCAGTATACCCGATCTGCAAAGGAAAATTAGACAAGCTCCGACTCCGACTGCAAGGGCACTGCTATGGCTTATGGGTAATGATTAAAAAGCATCTCAGCTGGACTAAGCTAGCAGCTGCTCCCTTTCCGCATTCTAATTCTCAGCTGGATGACCAATCACCCGAGACCACAATTTATTATTTTATTTTTTTTAGGCAAATAAATATGTGTCAAATATATATATTACAGCTACTTGTTTCTCATTAATTAAATTATTGAATGACTTTCACATCTTTGTTTAATGCTTTTTTTCCCCCCTTGCAGTAACGTCTATAAATTTTCATTCAACCTCGTGCCAGAAGCCGAACGTAACGCTGTGTGTAAAATTAACTGGGACCGAAGGTTCTCATTTCTCTTGCCCAGAGCACTGAGCAATTTAATAATTAAAGATAAGCCGCTGATAGCGATCCCAGTAGTTAAGATCATATTGCTAGCTGTGCGAGCCTTGATCCCCTAGATTTTGGCACATCTCTTGCTGCACAGAATAGAGACACCGCACTTAGCAAGCACGAACGAAGATACGCTTGGAATTAATTTAGACTCATGAAGCCTAGACCATTCAGCAATGCTGTGGGTAACTGTTATACAGCACAACGGGGTACCTCCACCTACCAAGACAGAGAAAGAATTCTCTCTATAAGTCATGAAACATCCTTTGAATCGTTTGCGCTCAAGGTTCCATTTCCATTCAAGTTAACAGGCAATAGTCTGTATAATCATTTAGAGCACGGGTTGGGGCATTGAATGAAAATTTGACACAGCACATGCAGGAATAGACAGCAATGTACCATTTATTAAATTTTAAATCTTTTATATTTTAACGGCTAGCATTGCCAGATCACTGTGGTGGGTTTTTTTTTGTGGACACGTACAGATTCCTCATTCTTGTGTCCAAGGCTAGAAGGTGCTTCCCAACACTGTGTTGAATAATGTACTCCCAGTGGGAAATCAATTAACTAATCACAGCAGCTTCTTTGAGATCCCAGAAGTGATTAATGAATTGATTTCACACTGGGAACACATGAATTGCACAAATTGCCGTGCAGCACTTTCAATTCTTGCTCTGCATTATGCAGAAACAAAAACAACAAATGTTTATTCACTGAACACTGACTTGAAGTGAATTGAAAATCATGTGACAAAATTTCAGCTAAAACATCTGATTTGTAAGCATTATCCAATTCAGCTACAGGCACAGTGTGGCTATTTCTTCTTAACTATTACAATTTTGTTCTCAATGCACTAGAAACATAGAATGTGACGGCAGATAAGAACCATTCGGCCCATCTAGTCTGCCCAATTTTCTAAATACTTTCTGTGGCGGAACCAGCCTCGCCACTGGGCATTGGAGAAGACTGATTGCCGGCCTCCTGCCCTGTGACTATGGCCCCATGTTGAAAGGATGTATTTTCCCCTGCAAAGACCCAAAAGCTGGGTCTTTCGGTACTTTCCCTATGTGAGCAGTGTTACCCAGATAGCTATGCCATGGAGCCCATTTGTATAATGAAAGACTATGGGAAAGACTTTGGCTCCATGGCAATTGAACTGTATGTGTGTGCTCTGAGCGCCATTCAGTAATAATGTGCGCTCAGATCTGAGCTATCTGGGGATATGTTGAATGTACCTGTTTTGTGCAATGGCTGTACAGTTATATGTTTTTATGTGTTTTATTGTCTTTTGCTGCCATGTGGCTAATGGAGTTTTGCCTCTGTCCTGGAGATAATTGGATTACTTCCCCAATTATCTCCAGGATAGAAGACTCTGTGGAACTGGTTTTGGGCAGAAAAGCCATGCTGCATTTGGTCAAATAGGACTTTTCCTTAACTTTTGAACCACTGGACCAATATCTATGATTTTGACATATGTTTGTATTTGGAGTATGCTGATTCTGAAAATGTAAGACAGCCACTAGTATTATGTGAATGTGATGCATACTTTTCAAGTTATGAATAATGTGGAAAAACTGTATTTCTCTGGCTGTGATAATTAGATTAACCATTGTGTTCAGTAATCATATCACAGCCAGAGGGGAAGATTTTGTGTGGGAGTGTCGTTTTGTAATGTACGTGTGTTATTGGTTGTTATGTAAAACCCTGTGGGCAGTACTAAGTTTGTGGATTGGGAATAAAAGAGGCTATATGTGCCAGTCCAGACAGTTCCTGCTTAACCCTCAAAGTGAAGTGTCGTCTCATTATTGGGGGAGGATTTATTGTATGCTGTTCCAGTTTGACTGCTAGGAGTCCAAACCCCTCCGTATGGTTTTTGGCCTATTCAGCTGTTTATAGCATTCACATGCTTGAGAGAAGGTATACGCTTCTCCGGTTCGGTGATTGTGGTGTCTGCCAGAGTGCTTGGAGTCCTCAGGAAACGCTAGGAGCATCCTTTAACGGAGGTACCCAGTCGGGGTGCCAGGTGATCCGTTACACTTTCATTAGTCCCTGGCCTTATCTTATAGCTAGGATAGCCTTATGCCTATCCCACGCATGCTTAAACTCCTTTACTGTGTTAACCTCTACCACTTCAGCTGGAAGGCTATTCCAGGCACTCAGTAAAATAATACTTACGGATATTATTTTTAAACCTTTGTCCCTCTAAGTTAAGACTGTCCTCTTGTTGTGGTAGTTTTTCTTCTTTTAAATATAGTCTCCTCCTTTACTGTGTTGATTCCCTTTATGTATTTAAATGTTTCTATCATATCCCCCCTGTCTCGTCTTTCCTCCAAGCTATACATGTTAAGATCCTTTAACCTTTCCTGGTAAGTTTTATCCCGCAATCCATGAACCAGTTTAGTAGCCCTTCTCTGAACCCTCTCTAAGGTATCAATATCCTTCTGGAGATACGGTCTCCAGTACTGCGTACAATACTCCAATACTCCACTACAATTTGGTACTTGGTGAGTAAACACCAAGGTGATCTGGCTACCATATTACTCAGCTCCTTATACAAATCTTATACTCTTTGAATAGACAATACATGCCCAAATATCTTTGGAAGCACATTACTGGGAAATAAGGATTTTCTTCCTCAAAACTCTAATTTCTATTGCAGAAGATCTAAAATTATTGGATACATTGGCATGTTCTTCTAGAAATTGCTTCAATATATTTGTATGATACATGATGAAACTGGCACAAAATCTCATAAATATGACAGCTGTACAAATGCAAAAGACTGAAGTAAAACTGCGCAAGTCAAAATTTGGAATTTTTTTTTATCAATGTATGAATGTATCTGAAAATGTGGCAAAATTTAAACTTTTTATGATACCTTTATACACTATATGGTCAAAATGGACAAAAATATTGGGAGACACCTCTTAATTACCGAATTCAGGTGTTTTAATCAGACCCACTATCACAGGTGTATAAAAATCAAGCACCTCTGCATTTATAAACATTTGACCGCATAAAGTCACAGAGCAAGATCACCAAGTGCTAAGGTGCAGGGTGTGTAAAATTAATATCAACACAAGAACTGTGCGGCGGGAGCTTAGTGGAATGGGTTTCCATGGCCGAGCAGCTGCATGCAAGCCTCACATCACCAAATATATGTTACAACAATTGGTGATAAGCCGCGCCTAATGGTGAAACTTAGTGACGTGATATAGAATACCTTTATAGTGTGGAATACAGATGTGTATATATATATATATACACACATACTTCATTTTTCTGGCTTGTACAAACAATCATGATATTCAGTGAACAGATCCTCAAGAAAAAACACAAATAAAACAGATAATAGTGCACTATGTCACTTTAAGTGTGTATCCTATATAAATATTTAAGAGGACTAACTCACACTTTTCTGAGCTATTTAGAGCTCTTCTTTTTTCGCTTGGACACAGTACAATCCCCATCTCAGGTTGTATGAAGATCCTCCAGATGGTGTACAGTAGTGTTTCAATATATAAACAATAAAACAGAAGTGGAAACTTTGATAGTGAGGTATGTCAGTCTCAGAAGTAAAAAGGTAAAACACAGTACAATTTATAAAGCAAAAACTTGCTCTGGTGTTGTACAGCTTTGGTGGTATAATCCCCACCTGGGATGTGCAGGAACCAGGAGAAGAGCTATAGCTTTTATAGCTGCAAAGGGAGGACAAACTACATATTAATGTCTGTGTATTTAGAATGCAATGTCATAAATGTTCCTGTTGGTGTAATGGTCAGGTGTCCCAATACGTTTGTCAATAAAGTTTGTCTCAGGGCGGGATTTGTCAATATGTGTATGAGCCATCTGCTTTCAGTGCCTGTAACAAGGGAATTAGTGTGAGTGCCAAATTATCAATAGAATCTAGTTGTAACCATTCACATTGTACTTGACAGAATTTGAAAGTCATCGACCAGTCACCTTGGACTTGGGAACATAAAAGGGGCCTTGTACAGACAATTTTACTAACAATAGAATCCCCATCCCACTTAATTTTCCAAATTTTTTTAAATAATGGCGATAACTTATCAAAAGCTGCTTGTATTGCTCTGAAGGGACCATGGTCTCTTCTAGTGTGAGCAACGTGTTACCATTTTGAGGGTAAAGTAAAATGGGTGTAACATCATAATGATTCTTATAGAATACAGCAATTCCCTGTACCATTCAATAAATATTTATTGTATTATTATCTATCTACATTAGAGATTGGTTATATAATTATTTGATCTTCCTCCGGTTCCCCTACAGAGCTAATTTTTATTTCCCCTGAAAGATTATTCCAGGTATCTACGAACCGTTCTGGAAAACTGATTTACTAGGGATTTAGCACTTAGGGTAGCTTCAAGGTAATATGTGCCGGCTGCACACAATAGTGTAATTTAGAATTTAGTGCTTGCATTTTACATAGAATCACATTCTGAATCTTTATGTGAAATGGCCTTGGCTGAATGTTTTTTTCTGATTCTATAGAACTAGAGAACAGACTCAAAGGCAAACATTCCGACACAGTTTCAGTTAAAACAAAACATATTTAAATTACATTTTCTTAACAAAGAAAAATAGGCATAATAATTGTTCAATTATAGAACACCAAATTTGAATTTATTATAATCCAGAAGAAATCATAAAAAATAAGCTACCTAAAGAATTGTTCTATGAGCGCAATTTGTTCTTCGGCAGTGGAGACACATTTCATGAATAACTGCGTGCAACAATAAAATAGAAATGTAAATCCCATAGTGGTGAACATAAGCCTAACAAATGCAGACATTGACAATTTTATGTTGATTATTTTTTGCTAATAATTTGTTAGTGTCGTTGCGTTACAGGATAGGACAGAGTTATGAGATGCTTGTGTAATGTCAATATACTGTGGTGGTTAATTCAATAGGACACAGACAATGGACAGTAGGTCTTTAAAACTTGGTCTTCGGTATCAATGCTGCAGTCCAATAACCTACTAACTGGCCTTCCTCTATTCTAGTCTAAATTGAATTCCTCTGATAGCCTAATTCACCTTACCCCTGTTCTATATCTGCTGCCCCTCTCTGCAAGTCCCTTCACTAGCTTCCCATTCACAGGAGACTTAAAGGGACACTCCAGGTACCCAGACCACTTCTGCCCGTTGGAGTAGTCTGGGTGCCATCTCCCACTACTCTTAACCCTGCAACTGTAATTATAGCAGTTTTTTTAATAAACTGCAATAATTACCTTGCAGGGTTAACTCCACCACTAGTGGCTGTCTAATAGACAGCCACTAGGGGGCACTTCCTTGTCCACAGCACAGAAAACCTGTGCTAGAGTGTCGCTGGACGTCCTCACACTGTGTGAGGACCTCCAGCGTCGCTCATTTCCCCATAGGAAAACATTGAAAAGCATGGGGAGCTCTAATGCGCATTAGGTCTCCCTCGCCAGTGGGCGGGATCAGTCTCGCCCAGCGGCCGACGCAATCACAGGGAGGAGCGGCGGTGGAGGAAGAAGCAGCGATGTGGGACATGTCGCTGCCTCTGGTAAGTCACTGAAGCGGTTTTCACCCCTTTAGCAACCGGGGATTGGGGGGTGGGAGGGAGAGGCGACTTGCAGTGCAAGGAAAACTGATTGTTTTCCTGACATTGGAGTTTCCCTTTAAATTTGAAATTCTCACCCTAACCTACAAAGCCCTTACGAATACCACTCCCAACTACCTGTCCTCCCTAATCAAAAAATATACACCATTCACCCCCTAAGATGTAACAGTGACCTGCTCCTTGCATCTTCTCTTATCACCTCTTCCCATGCTAAACTGCAGGACTTCTCTCCTGTGGCACAAACCCTGTGGAATGTCTGTCCCTGTGCTCTCTGACTTTGCTCTAGGTTGCCTTCCTTTAAAGCAGGGGTGCCCAAAAGGTAGATCCCCAGTTGTTGTAGTACTATAACTCCCATGATGCTTTGCATGCATTTAGAATGACAAAGCATCACGGAAGCTGTAGTTTTAAAACATCTGGGGACTTTTTGGGCACCCCTGCTTTAAACTTTTCCTAAAGAAAAGCAAAGCGCAGTCTGGAATACTTTTTGAACAAGTGATATCAGAGAAGCACATCCAGAAATATTTGCACTTTTGCTGGGGGCTAGTTACATCCCTGGCACACGTAACTTTGTTCTGGAGTGCTGAATGTCAATTCTGTGCAAAAAATATGTCTGCCATCAGCACGCAATGCACGATGGCAACAAACATAATTAGTTTCTCCCTTGTAACTTTCCTTCTCCCTCCCTCGCTGTTGCCATTAGCCAGTTAACAGTCCAATCCAAGACTTCTCTATGAGGGGCCTTTGATTTGACCTTGTGATGGCTGCCGTGTGCAGAACAGTTATTGTTTATTTTAACATTTATTGGGGAGGGGGTACCTAAACAATAAGGCCCAATAAGGTATCATGACTTAAAAAAAGGAGGGAACAAAGGGTTGGAGTAACCCTTTAATAAGCTTTCCAAATGATTCAATACTGTTTGGAAAATTTTCCAGAAGATTTATCTACAGAAGTCACTATTAAAATCTATGGGAATTTTCTCAGATAAATCATTTGGATAGTTTTTCTAATGGTATTTAATAATTTGTAAAGCTTATTAAATTGAGAGCTAAATTGGAACAACAAAACTGAAACTGAAATGGTTGATATGGAAATAAAAATTATAGTTATAGTTTGACTGGTTTAGCCTATGTTTTGTCATTCGGGTCCAATTCACGGATATATTAGGTGTTTAGTGAATATCCCTGTGGGTGTATGAGAAACAAGTTATCACGGCAAACCCAAGGGAAATGCAAATATTTAGCATATTCTGCAAACTCTTAACAATAATCTGTCAGAATATGGACATTGACACAGTGACATCTAGTGGTGGAAGTATTATTGCAAGGTAAATGTTTAACCTTTTAGGTGTGTAACTAAATGCTGCACGAACTGTGTCATTCTCCTTTGCTTTCCATGTGTTCGTGTCTTGAGCGAATTGCGACCTTCATTAAACTTGTTGATCAGAGCTTTATATTCAGTCTTTGGTCTCCCTATCTCTACTTTTGCAAAGTGCATCCATAGCGATGATCTTCATTTAATACTGTTAGCTAAGCCTTCCAAAATATGTAATGTTTTTGGATATTTTTAAATTGTTATATTATTTCACACCACAAAGAAGAGTAAAGGAATATATAGCTCATACAGTAATACAGCTATGGTCACAGTAAAACACATAACATTTACAGTATATGCCTAAGGTTGATATGTGAGAGTTGTATAGTATAGAGGAAGTTGTGTATACCATTGTTTATCCAACTGAATAACCAAAAAACCACCAGTAGGCTCCTGAAATGGTCATATAGTGAGCAGAAGCCGAGAGCAATGAAAGGTGAGGAATAATAAGAGAGAGACAGATATATTTTATCCTCAGATAAATCAAGATAATAAAAAAAAGATTGTTCTAAAGTTTGTCTTTTTGAGGAGTAGAGATGAGTGTCCCGATGCTTGGGAGAATCCCATTTCCAGAACCTAGATCAGCCTATACCCTTGAAGGGCAGAGCACAATCATGCAATAAAAAGAAATGTTTCAGGCATAGTAGCCCAATTGTAGGTAAATGTGATATCCAATTATGGCAATTATGGCCCGGTGATGGCAGGAATGTCGTTCCTGGTATCCTAAACTCCTGAGGAATCTGAGGCCAGATGATAGTCTGTACTCAGCCTCCTCCAATGTGGACCATACTAGTCACCACCACCATGTTCCAGTCCACTCTGGAGTTGGAGCTGCACACTGGGTACTTGGCAGTGGATTCTGAGGTGAGTTGTTATGAGGTAACTGGTCTGCATCCGCAAAGCAGATTGTTGCAATCGTGTAGTCAGCTTCAACCAAAAGTCCGTGAAGATTTTGTGTAGCTTGGACATAGTAAGGGATTTCTCACTGTAAGGATGGGAGGCACATGCAGTATCCGCCATGTTGAATGGGAAGCAGCACTGTTTGGGAGTCCTCAAAGGTGTAGACCGGGATCACCCCCGCCAGTCCAAGGTATGTGGGGGGTGTGGAGGAACACTTAAGCTAACAGCTTGGCTTGCTTCAGGAGAGAGATTGGCTCCTCTCCTTGGGGCAGACCAGGCCTCAAATCAAACGATCAGTTCTCTGGGATTGTGTCCACAGAATTAGGAATCACTTATGGTGAGCCCTGCTTAGGTTACAGAACCTTAGACGTTCAAAGGAATCGCAGATGAGGTAAAAATCAGCTGGGTAACCGTGAATAGCTCTGTAAGATTCTGGTATGGTTAGTGTTATGGGTAGAGTCATAGAGTTAGCTTTGAAGTAGTGTTACGGGTAGGTTTTGAGTTAGGTTAAGGCTTATTAGGGGCAGGGATAGGGTTAGAAGTAAGGTTTGGGTTTTTGGTAAAGGTAGAGTAAGAGTTAGATATAAAGGTAGGGGTAATTTTAGAGGTAGAATTTGGATTAGAATTAGAAGTTAAGTAATGGGTAAGATAGGGGAATAGGCGTATTGTTAAGGATAAGTGATATTGTTAGGGGCAGGGTTAATGTTAAGAATTGGTTTAGGATTGCACTTCTGTTAATGTTTGTGATAGGGCAGATGTTAGCATTTAGGAGTAGGATTGTAGCTAGGATGGGCTTGGGATAGGGTTAGGATAACATCTAGGAGTAGGATTGTAGCTAGGATGGGCTTGGGATAGGGTTAGGATAACATCTAGGAGTAGGATTGTAGCTAGGATGGGCTTGGGGTAGGGTTAGGAATTGGTTATGTCTAGTGTTGACAATAGCAGAAGTAGTTGAAATTGCACCCTGTCTGACCCTCTAGCTATGCTACTGGAGAATATTACAGTTTATCCAATTTCATTATAAATTAAATTACGGGTATGCCAGAAAAGATTTTGTGATCCCAATTTGTTCTGAACGCACCATGTGTAATGCAAATTGTGTTTATATTTAATTAAATTGTACCATGTGAAACCCATCATGTACTGAAGCATACTGTGTGTCCCGTAGCCGCCCTGTCTTTTCTGTGTAACGTGTCTCCTGAGTACATGCAGATTGTGGTTCCAGATCTTTAGGCTTTCCCAACAGAAAAAATCAGCAGCAATTTGCACATCTTTGTTCCTCTATTATTGTACATGCCCAACCACTTAACAAATCCTGGCTGTGCTGTTAAACACATCCATTAATGTGCTACTATGCTCTGAATATGGATGTAAGAGACGACTGATAAAAAAGCATCTTGCAGCTGTTCGTTTTGGTTAAATCTTTTGCAGTTTATTGTCTCGGAGGTCGTTATTTGCGTCTTTTGTTACAGGATAGTGACACCAAGTGGCATGTTTACAAGGCAGTTGCAGCACCAATCAGAAGGAATTGTTGTAATACAGATTTCTAATAATGGGTAATGTCTAAGATACCAGCTGTTGTGAACTAAAACTCTCATTACCATTAGCCATTTTCCATTACACTCATGGATTATTGATGTCTAAACCAAGGTTCCCATGAGATACATTTCCTATCAAGCTCACCAAGCCAGGACACTAACGATCATCTGTGGGTCGGAAACCAAGGTTATCCACCTATGCACTAAACGAATCTTGTCATCTAAAGAAACCATAGCATCAATACACGGAATCTAATGCTGGTGATACCTATCTTCCTGGTGTACCAGTATCTCAGATCCATAATGTAAGGCTATGTCAGAGACACATTCAACAAAATAATTAATCCCACTCTTTTAGGTCACTGGCCCCATCTCCCATGACTGAACATATTTTTTTTACTGTTCTGATTGAGTAGGTTTTTCAAAGTCTTTATATATAAATCTCTCTCTTGAATGTTTTTTTTTTTTAAATGGGATACAGAATAGAAAAGAGGGGATGTACGTTTTTCATACAGATTGAGATCTCAATAACACAATGCAACATCTCCTAGGAGTGACTGCCTCATTTTTATATTTTTTAAGCATTCTATAATATTACTAACTAGAGTGGTGTAGTAACAGTAAAGTCGTTAAACATAAGCTAAACATCAAGTGAATTATGACAATTATGTTACATGTGAAACATTACACGTTTTAGCTAAGTGTGGTAGGATAGTAGTTTATCATAGCTTGCCAAGCTAAATATGCTGAGGACAAAAGCTGGTTGCGCATTAGGTATCATGTGTGACTTGGGTGTAGTGTGCCACATTAGGTATAGCAAGGTAACGTATAGTAAGATAAAGTAGGGTAAAGCAAAGCACTGCCTGCAACTCTAAGGCAAGATTATTAAAGCAGTACTGCGGCGGCGTTTATGACAGTGTGTGGTATAAATACATGTTACTGTTTGTTGTTTCAAGCTAGGGCATGGTGAATATTCAATTGTCGATTGTTTAGATACAGGCTAGACTGAGATTCATTAGAGTAAAATTAAGCAGGTTGTGTTCTAGTAGATAAGCCACCGGCTCGGTAAGAGCGGACAATGTGTACATGGGGTTTGTCCCAATTCAGTCTGTTAGCCTGGCAATGGGGGGGGGGGGGAGTGCTTTGTCATCTGATTTCAGCCGATTCCCTGTGCATGCCATAGTGGACAGTCCATCCTCTGCTCGAGTGTACCGGTCCCCCTATCCGGCGTGCAGGCTGTCAGGCTGAGCTGCAGATGCTGTAGACTGGTTGTCAGCATTTTGCAGTGTGGCAGATCTGAGGCTCTGCAGCTCCGGGCTGTAAGGCGGGCCCCTGCCCTTGGTCTGTGGGTCTTCCTTCTCCGATTAACGGGATTGTGGGTCTTTATGGGCAGTGTGGTGGTGGTCAGCCGAGGATCTTGGGGTAAGGAGAGGGGTTGCATGCGGTGGGGGGGTTTGCGTGGGGCCGGCACCATGTGGCCACAGACTCGGTACCTCTCGGGGCCGAGTCTTTCCCATTGTGGGCGCAGTGGAAGGTCCTGATGGTCGTCCGCCGCCAGCGGCGGGTGTCCTTCCCGCGGTGTGGTTGGTGTTCTGGAGGGAACCTCCTAGTAACCCCCAGCCTGGATGGGCATTCCGCCCTCGTGGTAAGATGGCTTTGCCCGGGGTCTGCTCCGCCCGCCCCACAACTACTGCCATCTCCTCAACCTTGTAGTGAGAAGGGGTTTGTTGGGCCTCCCTTCGCTCCAGTTTTTCTCAGGATCGTTGGAGCAGGGCCTCCAGACGCTCATGAAGGGGCCGCGACGGTGCGGGTTCAGTCGCATGGCCTGCAGCCGCCCCTTTACTAGCAGCGGGTTGCTAGTTTGTTGCTTGTCCTAGGCTGTTGCTTTCATTTGTAGTCCAAGTCGGTTTGGGATTGGGATAATCCCCAACGGTCCTGGGGGGGGGGAAGCCCAATACTTCGGGTGCCGCTTGTTTTGATGAGCCGGGAGAGCGGCCGTCTCTCCCCTGCTCTGTGCGGTGTAGGCCCCAAGCCTCTGTTCCGGGAGTTCTGTGGGTATTTGAGCTTGCGAGGTGTCCCCCAGTTCCCAAGTCTCCATAGAGCACAGTGAGGAAGGTAGGGGTTCAGGGTTGGGTGTTTTACCCCCGGTTTTCGGCAAAAATCGAGTCCAGGCTCGGGAGCTCACAGAAAGCATGTCTGCTCGGCTCCCCGGTCAGGCCCCGCCCCCCTCTTGAATGGTTTTGAGCAATCATTTTCACATTATTTTTTCTTAATAGGTAAACTACATTATGTGCAAAAAGTACACTTTCTAAAGCAAATATTCAAATATTTATATTTAAATTCGGTAAAGGTGCTTTAGAATATAAAAGTATATATATATACAAACAAATAAAAGGCAGACAGAAATATAATACCTGTTTTTTTATTTGTTTTTTCTTTATCCCTAATTTGTTCTTGCATTTCAGATGACCCTCGTTGGAGTCATATCAACCTGAGCACTCAGAATGTCAATATTCCGAGCTAGTTCTCTCCACCATGGCTTGGTTAGAATTTACTGAATTCATGGAACCCACAGGACAGTCAACTTCGGGATATCAATATTTAAAATGCTAAACCAGCAGATATCACTAGACCACATATTTTGTGTTTGATCTATCCCAGAACCTCAAGTTTATGAGATGCATTATTATTATAATTATTATTATTTATAAAGCGCCAACAAATTCCTTAGCTTTTAGTTTTTTATTGAGAACGTTACAGTACACAGTCATGAATAGCTGTATTGATGTTATTGGTATGTTCCTTTTTCTTATTCAAAATATTGGTTCTGTCAGTGTAAAAAATTTAAATATACAGTAAGCATACTCACATGCAGACACAGACAATCTCACTAACATAAGCACGCAAGCTCATTGATACACAGGCTCAGGCAGACAGACAATCTCATTGATACACATAAGCTCATTGACATAAAAACACAAGCTCACTGATACACACAAATAGGCTCGCTGACAGACAATCTCTCTGACACGCACCGACAAGCTTGTCTTGCGTCTGGGGATCTACCATTTGAGCACCCCTGATTTAGACCTACTGAGGGTTTAACCTAACACGAACAGAAACTATTGAATATATTTAGCTGCTCGTTAAGCATTAGCTCTAGGGTGGCTTAGTCCTGACCCACCAGCAATCCCCCAGGTTATAGTCAAAGTGAAAGAATACTACTTGATGGCTAAACTGACAGTGTGAGTCAGGAACACAATCACAGCCTTTCAAAATGTATAGAAAGGGAATGCAGGGAAGCAACAAGTGTCCTTAATTCAAATAGAGATGGTACAATATGTAAAACAAGAGGACAAATAAAAAGGGATATGGTGTAGTATTTCTGATGCTGGTGATTATAAAGAAGAGAAAGGAAATGCACTTACAATCTTCTAGAGCTTGAAATCAGCTCCGGATATATGCGCTTGGATGGTACAATCCCCGTCTGTGGATATGCTGAGCTTGGCCTCGGTCTTGATCTATTGTCAGCAGCGAGTGGTGGTCAGTTTCGTAGAGGTGGTCTCTTTTAAAGTGCCGTTTTGTCACAGTGAGAGTTCACCAGCTTATAAAATTAAAATAAAAAACAGAAGATAGTGCTTTCTGTATAGCTAAAAAAAATAATAAAAGGAGGTATACTCACGAACGGAGAGCACAGTAAAGTTCTGCTCAATCCTTTATAGCTTAGGGGGTATCTTCCCCACCTAGGAAACCAAAGTATGAATCCTCCAGGTAAAAATCTTCAGAGATAAAAACTGGTAGTCCAAGTTCAATAAAAACTAGTTTTATTTATAACCAAATAAAAAAATAAAAGTAGTATAAAACACCAATAAAACGGTAACGCGTTTCACCTTCACAGAGGCTTTTTCAAAGTGTATATTTTAACGTAATTTATGATTGACCGAATGTGTCTTTGATAAATACTGCATTCGCTTGCCGTTGCATTATCTTTTGGCTTGGCACACTGTGATATAAAGCCGCTACATAAAAGTTTGCATATAATTGAAAGTAAATATCATTAACCAATACTACATTCTCCTGTCAAATGAAAACACTTGGCTTGGCACGATGTGATTTAAAGCCCCTACAGACACGCTGTAAACCTATTTTCATTTATGCGGTTATTACCACAAACAAAATTAAAAACTTTTTTTTACAGGCATGTAGCATACTTTTACCATTGTCTTTTTATATGCTTGTAACTAAGTAAAGAATTAAAAAATGAAATAATATGGTACTCTAAGTATCTATGGTACTCTAAGTACCAAAACCACTACATGTTAATGGGGAAAAGTCACACCAGCCCTTTCTATTATTATTTGTTTGAGTTTTTAATGCTGTATTTGGCTTTTGTCACTCGTCCCCCACAAATATTCAATTAGCCAGACCGAATCCTGACCCCATTTCGCTTTAATAAATCTGGAAATTGCCAATGCAGTCAAAATGTGGTCATTTTCACTGGAGTTCGTCCATTCGGACAAAATCCAATGTTTAGTAAATAATATTGTTGGATAAGCTTTCCAAATTATTTCATATTTCTGGATAAAATTATTTAATATTATGTAAAATATTTTGGTTTTGTAATATTTTGATATTTTTTATATTTTTTTTATATATGATGTATTTTTTGATATTTTAATATGTTGAAAAAAATATTTTAAATGTTTAGCAAAAAATCTGAAGTAATTTGGAAAGCTTATCTAACAATATTAAATTGAGGCCTTAGTGTCATTCCCTAGACATGGAATGACAGGTATTAGCCTCATACAGCTGTCATTTTTGTAATACTAGATCCCTCCTGCTTAAAGGGACACTGCAGACCCCTACAGCGCTTCAGCTTGCTGAAGTGTGTTATGTGTGAATAGAGTGTCCTATTTTTCTTTCATTTTACAAAAATTGCAGATTTCAGTAGATATTTTTACTTTTATAAATTAACCTGGTTACATCGCCTGGCCTTCCATAAGACAAGTATTGTTACATCCTGGTTTCGTTAGCTTGATGCAGCTGACCTCAAAAGGCAGCAATTGCCCAGAGCACCTGACATACAAAGACTTCTCATTGAGTTGTATTGGGAAGTCTGTGATTGGACAGCCACAGAAAATCTGGGCGGGGTTAGAAGGGGAGGGCTTGCAAAGGCAGAAGACAAGAGAACTGCAGTTTTTGTAAACTGTTTTTAGATATATTTCCAATGAAAAATGCAAAATTAAATGCCTACAAGTTTTTATTGGGGTAAATAATAATTTACTTTTTTTGTTATTTGGGAAGAGTGTCCCTTTAATATGACGTCAGTGGAACTATGTGTTTTCAGGTATATATAATATAAATTTTTAAACTTTAACTATAAACTGTCACATCTCTGGAAATTCAACTACTGAATAAAACATTGAAAGACCTGTAATGAGTCAATTATTTGGCTCCATACAGAATCAGACTTTTGAAATAGTTTATTCTCAATCTTTGGCCTCGATTTAATATCTTTTAGTAAGATTTTCCAATGATGTTTTCAAAATATTAAAATATCAAAAAAATCTCTTATGTTAAAAATATATTAAAATATTAAGTCATTCAAAAAGTGTATCCAAAAATATGAAATAATTGAAAATCTTAACAAAGAATAATTAAATTAAGGCAATTATCATTTGAGAGATTCCAAATTCAATATTTTCAAACAGGAACTAGATGCATACTTGCAAAAACAGAATATTTAAGGATATAATTTTTCAATGTAGGGTAATAACTGCTTGATCCAAGGATAAATCTGACTGCCATTCTGGGGTCAAGAACAAATTTTTTCCCTAGTTTTTTGCAAAATTGGAAGTGCTTCAAACCGGGTTTTTTTGCCTTCTTTTGGATCAACAGCAAAAACAAATGTGAGGAAGGCTGAACTTGATGGACATATGTAACGATGTAATATTTTGTTTGGAATTTGAACCTTTTTAGGACTGTTTATTTAATCAGAATTCAAACTGTCTGAACTACAAGATCAATTTTGGATTAATCTGCAAATATGAATTTTCCCCACATTTGAGTTTAGTTAATAACACCAAGTATGTCCTTTTTTGAGAATAATAGTAATCTGAGCATCTATTTGTGAATTAAATATATAAAACGCAGCACCATGTATAAGTCATCTATAGTGAATGGATAGTATAGGTGTCGTGGTCAATTGTCTCCCTAGATCATGCCCCCCTCACCAAACTTCTATGATTTTAAGCCAGCCAGATTTTCGTCATGTAGATCGAGACCTGGCAACTCGTGTTCCACCCTGCCAGGTCTCTTTTTCAGTCTCGTAGAGGAAGCGCTGTGTGTGGAATAAGAGAGGCGAGTGATATCACATCCCTTTCTCGCTCTACACAAATCCAGAAGGTTCCCACCACTTGTGTTAGATGTGGGGATGTGCAGGACTGCCTGGAGGTGGAAATAGCTCTGTGATTGCTACAATGGCATGCTGCTTGGAGGATGGAGAGTGAAAAGACACAAGGGAGACGTAAGATCTGCACCCATACAACCTCGATTATCCCCTGAACCCTCAAGATCCTATCTTACCCTCTATAGCCCCTATCTCCCCTGAAGTCACCTTAGACTATAGTGCTTCTTATGGCCCATATTTTCTCTGCACTCACCACAGCCTCTATCCCACCCATGCATCTCACTACAGCCCCTAACCCTCCTCTATACCCACTACAGCCCTGTGATCACTACTAATATGATTTAGTGGTTGAAATTATTCCTGCTCACAAGTTTTAACTGTGGTATCCCCCACCCCACTATGTATTGTATCAAGAGTCCCCACTGATGAGCTGAATTTAAAAATGTCTTTACTTCGAACAAGAGAGTTCTCTTCACGGCATCTAAAATGATTTCTAGTACTTATCAAACGTTTTGCAGGAGCTATACCTAATCTATGGTAAGCATAGTTTGTATAGCATTGCATAGCATTTGCATAAAATTTCAGTAGGTGGCGCTAGTGTAGAACAAACACAGCAATTGTCATGTAAGAATTCTATTTAGTCGTGTGCTAATTAAATGGGACATTAATATGTAACTCCTACTATTTAGCCTTTAGGACTTGTAGGAGCGTATCTATCAATAGAGAATTGTTAATACATTTCATAACTAGACAAATATATATGTACAAATTAGAACTATTTTGGAATATTAGCTGAACCGACATTAAAACTTAGGGTAATGTTCATAGGAAAAATAAATAAATAAAAAAGTCTGGCCTGCAAAAAAATAAACAAACCCAGAATTTGCTTATTTTGGGTGTCCTGGAATGTAGTATTTAAATGTATTTTTCCTTTAAGTTTACATAAATAGTACACTAATTAATGGATACAAAAATAAATAACATTTCTGAATATTCAGACATTGTTCCCCACACATGCCTCAATTTAAGATATTTGGTTATGCTTTTCAAATGACTTAACATTTTTGGATAACCTTTAAAAAGTGTTTTGTTACATTTTAATATATAAATATATCTACCAATATACCAGAAACTAAACATATTAAACTATAGACTGTAAGGGTCCCCTTCAACCTATCGTTCCTGTAGGTTTTCTTATAATTGTCTTATTTATAATTAAATCTCCCCTTTTATAATATTGTAAAACGCTACGGAATCTGTTGGCGCTATATAAATGATAATAATAATAATAATAGGGATTCATAGTCTCATTTAATTAATTCTTATCTCTACACTGTGAAAATGTAATCTGGTTTGCGATACATTTTTATTATACAGAGGCATTCCTAGGTTACACGGCATCTGGGGCAGAAGTGTATTTTGTCAGCCCCCAAAACTGTAGAATATTTTATGTCTTACAATGCATCTCCACAACCCCATTTTGGTAGGGAAAATTACACAATGAAATATTCATTCATATACATAAACATTAATATTCACACATACATTTATATACACACAAACACATACACACATTTACAGTGCTAGTGCAAGGGCGTACCTAGAGCTTTTGGCACCCGGGGCTGGGCCCATTTTTGGCACCCCCCATAACTTTAAATGTAAAAAAAACAACAAATTTTTTAAAATGTATTTAGCAGTGAGCAGTGTTTGTGTGTTTGACTGTATGCATGTTTTCGTATGGAGTATGTGTGAGTGAATGTAGGGGTGTGTTTGTATGTAGTGTTGGCGTTTGAATGCAAGCATGCATTTGTGTGTTGTGTGGTATTTGAATGCAGTTGTATGGTTATATATATATATATATATATATATATATATGTATATATATATATATAATGATGGGGTTTGTATGTAGTGTTGATGTTGAAATGCATGAGTATATTTGTGTCTTGTGTTGGCGAGATTTTGAGATGTATGCACACATATACACATACACATACCTACACATAGGCAGATATATATACACACATGCCTATATACAGAAACAGAGTCACACACAGATACACATTGACACATATGCAGACATTGTGGCGACTCTAGGAACAATATATAGGGGGAGCCACATAAGATACCAAAGTCAAAACAGGGGGGGCTGAGCACTAAAACTTTTTACTAGACGATGGGGTAATGTACTACCATTGACTGTCTGATGCCAGCATGCTGTGCTCTGAATGCTGGCATCTGACAACACATTTGCATAGAATTCACATTAGCCACCCGTATTTCTTGTTGTGGGCTGGCTGACACCTCTTAATTTCTATCTTTGTTTGGCAGATAACTTCCCTATTTGCTATCCTTATGTGGGATTGCCAAATTTAAGGACACCAAATAAGGTGCTATCTGCTAAACAGCACCATCATTTGGTATCTTTAAATATGGAAATCTCACATACAGGCACCAATTCAGGGAATTATCTACTAAACAGCTAAAGGATCAAAATTTTAAAAAGCCCTTTTCTTATTTTCAGTTGTTTAGTAGATAAATCCCTTATTTGTTATCCTTATGTTGGATTGCAATATTTAAGGACACCAAATAAGGGAGCTATCTACCAAACACATACACAGAGATACACACAATCACACACATAATCACAGATATGCACAAACACAATCACAGATCCACACACATACAACCACAGACACACAATCACATACACACA